AATTTTGGATGGTTGGTATTATTGGCGGTGTAAACGCGAACTAAAAGAGGACTGCATAGGTCAGGATGTGGGTCAATCCCATAAAGAGGAAGGAATATAAGAATATTCAATATTTAATTCACTTTTCTCATAAATATTATGCATGTGGGACACCATTTAGTTATGTAGTAGGGTATTCTGTTAAAAAAAAACATACATATTTGGCTTACATTTAAATGAAACATATTGTGTATTTGAGAATAATGGGAAATTGTAGCCCTAAGTTATGTTATTTGTGACCGGTATTGATGTTTTTTCATACTATTTTTCAAAAAATGTCTCAATTTTATTGAAATTGTTAAAATTAATGTATGTTGTATTGTCGTTTGTTTGAAGATACACTAAAATTCTCGCACGAAGTCTGTTGAGAGTAATCAACCGGCCTGTGACGCCCTCCATTCATCTCGATTGCTTGGAACAGCGACTCGGAATATAGCGTAACTGAGTAAACATCTTAAGTATTAAGATAGTCCATTCTCTTATTAAATCTCTTTTCCCGAACATTCATCTTATCACTCAATATCTCCATTTTTCTTTTAACACTCAGGAGATAACTTTAACCATGGGTGGTTAACCTAGATTACATTAAACACAGTCGCTGTCTGATTATTTATCGTCACTACTGTCAGCTTGTCTGAGACGTAGGTTTCGAATTGGTCAGACAGAAATTCGAATATAATATGAGCATCAACAAGCACATAATCATCCATCAAGGATGATGGTAATAATTTCCGACGTTTTCCCTAACCTGACCCACGCTTCGTATACAGTTTGGAGATCATTGGGGTCATTAACGGTTAAATTTAGTTTTCTTGTATGAAAATTAAAGGAATTTCATTTTCATCATTCCATACTAAACATCGTCCAAATAGTTTTTAACATTATCAATGAAATTCTTTAATGTAATAAAAATGTTCTTGTTTTGTTCCAGGTAGGAACTTGATTTCACGAAAGCAACGAGGTCTGTTGTTTTTGCTTACCAAAAATTTTGTTAATTTTCAAATCCATCTCAACAATAAAGGACTCTTTCTCTGCTAGGTTTACCTCCATTGCATTTTTGTTTGTAATAAAATCCATTCGGCGAATGGCTATTTTCATGTTTTCTTGACATTTCATGATTCGTAGAGCATGAAAAAATAGATCTTCCGTTTCCGTCTATGTGTCGTTTTAAAGTTATCGTAAGCGTAATAATATTTATCGTTATCACGACGTTATTACAATGTTTTTTGTGAACTATTGCATTGCTACAAAAATTCACGACAATTGGAATAACGTGGCGACGTTGCATCGGAATTTTAAAAATAAGCTGAGGTTCTGTAGAATGTATAAAAATATGTGAGGTATTGCATTTGAAATAACAAGTTGTGCGTTATGCTTTAAGAACAGTTGAAAGTAATTTTAGAGTACGGTCCTCAAAGAAGCGTACAAGTTCCGTCTTCGATTTCTAATAATAATTAATAAGATATCGAGGAGCTCGCGCTCAGTGACTTGCTCTGTATACACGAGTACGTATATAAAAGTAGTTATATTCGTTTTGTTTCAAATTTCAGTCTTTTCAAAGTAGTAGAGATGTTAACCGAAAGAGGTAGACTGGGAACCATATATAATATTTGTATATGGGATATATCTCACTTAAAAATTTTTATCTGCGGTTTGATAATGTGCGGTTATTTTTTATTTTATGGATACGGCTTACCACAAAGAATTAAAATTTATAGAATGAGATTAGACAATTTGCCTTCCAATCTGCAAAACGAACTTTTTTGGAACTTTGGTCATAGATACACTAATATTTTCGTGACTAAATACTTCGATTAAATTTATTTTTTCATTGTGGTTTTATTATTCTGTTATTCTGAAGGGGCTTGGATCCCCGACATCTCCTTTTTTTCTGTTTTTCAAAATCTGTTGCTCTAATTTCTCCTTAAATTTTTTGGACAAAAAATGTTGATAATGCCACTTCATAAAATTAAAAACGTTTGTCCTCGCCAAAAATTACTAAATACTCATTTCAAAAATACACTGACATGCATTGGTTGAGTTTTAGGGACAAGAGAAATTCTGTCTAAATAATTTTGGATCAGTTTTTACTTCCCGAGCGTAAGCAAAGGAAGTATTGTAATCGAGTCCGTCGGCCGACTCTCTACTTTTACGTTTTCTCGATCTTTCATGACCCCTAGAAGACGAAGAAATAGGTCTCCCATTTCCGTCTGTCTGTCCGTCTGTCCGTCTGTCCGTCCGTCCGTCCGTCTGTCCGTCTGTCCGTCTGTCCGTCCGTCTGTCCGTCTGTCCGTCCGTCTGTCCATCTGTCCGTCCGTCTGTCCGTCTGTTGTCCCGGATTTTTATTAGACAGATAATCTCCGAAAGTACTCGACCGATTGTTGTGAAATTTTGTACTCATATTAAGAATATCATGTAGATGGTAAAACGCTAACCAAAATTTATCTAATCATCCCCACCACTAATGCGATGACGTCACTTCAAAATTGTACATAGTAAATGGGTTTTCAATTGTATAAAATAACATAGTCCTACACATGTAGTTTACAACTCCGAATCGACTTTTCACCCGAAACGTCCAGATTTTTGGAAAAAAAATCAAAATGATAAAACAACATTTTTAAATTTAATTTTTAATCTGCTAACCAGAATGCTTTGAAATGTTGCAGATGTTTTAAGGCTATAAAGAGCATCATAAATCTTTAGTCAAAAAATATTTGCTTATCCCCTCCAAAAACTTGATGACGTCAGCTCAAAAGTTTGTGGAATAAATCATATCTAAAATGTACAAAATATGATGAGTCTGTACTTGTGATCTATCACTCCATTCATATTTTTTGGATTTGCATATACAGGGTGACTCAAAAAAATTAATGAATGCGTAAATTTATTTTACTGATTTACTCAGAAACTACAAAACCGAATGCTTTGAAATCTTGCAGATGTTTTAAGGTTCTAAAGAGCATAATAAATGTTTAGTCAAAATATATTTGCTTATCCCCTCCAAAAAATTGATGACGTCAGCTCGAAAGTTTGCCGAATAAATCCTATCTAAACTGTAAAAATATGATGAGTCTGTACTTGTAATTTATCACTCCATTCATATTTTTTGGATTTGCATATACAGGGTGACTCAAAAAAATTAATGAATGCGTAAATATATTTTATTGATTTAATCAGGAACTACAAAACCGAATGCTCTGAAATCTTGCAGATGTTTTAAGGTCATAAAGAGCATAATAAATGTCTAGTCAAAATATATTTGCTTATCCCCTCCAAAAACTTGATGACGTCAGCTCGAAAGTTTGCCGAATAAATCATATCTAAAATGTACAAAATATGATGAGTCTGTACTTGTCATTTATCACTCCATTTATATTTTTTGGATTTGCATATACAGAGTGACTCAAAAAAATTAATGAATGCGTAAATATATTTTATTGATTTAATCAGGAACTACAAAACCGAATTCTTTGAAATCCACTGCGAAAAAAAAACATAATAGGCATGCAGTCGTCACGTTTCCGACAGCGAGGGAAGTACTGTCTAAACTCTTTAGACCAATTTTTTAGAATTGTTCGTATTAAATGTTTCAAAAAAATTAAAGAATAGAGCAAATTATTTTGTTCATTGAATAAAAAATGATTTATCTCATTTTCCACAAATACTGAGAGCACAGGGTTGTTATTAATGCCAAAAATTGATGTATTTTTTCCCTCTTAAAAATTAAAAACTTGAAAAGTGTTTGTACCTCCAACCCACATCACTGGTTTTCGATACTCTCTAACAGGTAAACGTGGTCCTTCTGAAAACGCAGAGCACCCATTCGCAACTTCCGCTTCCAGGCTCTTCTCCGGGCGCCGTCACCGACAATGAATCATCGGCGACGTACATGCTTAGAACCCATAGGCGTCGTACCGGGGCGGCGTATGGGTTTATTTCGTAACAATAGTTACATTTCCATATTTATGTACCGTCAAAAGCAATATATTCGATAATAATTTAATTTTATAAAAAATTGGTACACAAATCTTGTGTATCACTCGCCCAGAACATGCGTTTATGAATTTGTAGGAAATAACGAATATTTTATTCCCTACAAATTCATTCGTATTCGCAAAGGCCTAGTTTCTGGCCTTGTGATGCAAATAACTATTTTTTAACATATTTGGGTTATCTTATCATAAAAAATAAAATTTGCTGAATCGAATTTAATAATACGAGAAATTGGACTTTTGTAATTTTTTTTTATAAGACACTAATATTGTGTTAAACAACGTTAACAGAATTTTGTTTGTCTTCCTCCAGAAAATGTAACACAGTATCTTAAAAAATTAGTAAATAAATCTTTAAACATATGCTTTGAGGTATTGAAAGAATATGATTTTACATCTCCCACCATTTCGACGTGGCTGGTTACACCACGAATTGAGCTCGCGCCACTTTCTTTATTCTAACTATACCATTGAATTGTATTGTATTACACATATCTTTATTGTGGTAAATTAAACTTTCAAAGTGAAGCAGCTCATTGCTTTAGTAATACTAATGAAAATGTCAAAAAGCTATGATATGATGAGATGGATATGATTTCCTAGAATTGTAAACAATTGGAGAAAGCGGGAGATGAATTGCATTGATTGAACTGGAAAATTCACCAACATGTTCAAACATTTCCCGTAATCGTACTTTTAAAATAGAATAGTAAACAGCCGAATAATTAGAACGAAATTACGTGGCCTCCACAAATTAGACCATGCCAAAATCACTCAACTATGCAAAATGTGTGCATGTAAACTCCATTTTAGACGTTCATTTATTACTGTTGTATTTTTCCAAGCAATGCAATTATTGTTATCATGTTTTGTGACCTCATACTCCTATTACTAAGACACCTAAGAACCATTGCAACTACGATCATCATATAAATGTCGAAGTAACTAAATATTTATATATTACAGGTGGATGGCAAAACAATAAAGGCACAAATTTGGGACACGGCGGGTCAGGAAAGATACCGCGCCATCACAGCAGCGTATTACAGAGGAGCAGTAGGAGCGTTGTTGGTGTACGACATCGCCAAACATTTGACGTACGAGAACGTGGAACGTTGGTTGCGCGAACTCCGAGACCATGCAGATCAGAACATCGTAATTATGTTGGTTGGCAATAAGTCCGATTTGAGGCATCTGCGCGCCGTCCTAACAGAAGAAGCGAAAGCGTTCGCTGAAAGAAACGGCCTTTCCTTCATAGAAACATCAGCTCTTGATTCCACCAATGTCGACTTGGCTTTCCAGAATATACTCACAGAAATCTATAGAATCGTATCACAGAAACAGATCAGAGACCCACCTGAAGGTGACACGATCCGGCCACAAAACGTGGAACCTATAGACGTAAAACCAACGATGAACTCGGATGGTGTGCGCAAACAGTGCTGTCAGTAGTGTACGCACTGTAGCAATACACTAGCCCAAACACAGGTGAGGGGGAGCAAGAAGTTTTTATTGGTTGTTTTAACGGTCGATTTACAGATTTCTGCATCATGTAGTGAAGCCTCTGTACCACCCACCTGTGGCTATTTGTGTTTTGTTATTATTTACATAAATCTGAATGTCCTAATGCTAACATATTGTGACTTAGCGTGGAGCCTCCACATCTGTTTGCTGCGCACTTAGAAGCTGTTACAGTTTTTGTATACTATTATAATTTTCAGTAAATTTTTTCTATATAAAAAAATATAACTGTAGGTATTTAAGTAATGAAAATGTTTATTTATCTTTAATAATATATATGCTTTAAAGCATGTGATCATATTTAACAATAGTTTTATCAATTCAGGTACAGAACTAAGTTATGAATATCTGTGTCTCTTGCTAGATATTAAAACAATAAGTCTTGGTTTTATGTTTCAAATATTGTAAATGTGCTCTGTTATTTATAATTAAAAATTTAACTGAATATAATAACCGTTAAACACTGAATTTGACTGTTGATTTGGTAAGTATTGGCCAGCCCCTTCGTCGTTTGTAGAGTCGATAAATATGTTTGACTATCTTCTTCAGAATCAGAGGAAATTAAGACGGTCATTCCAAGTTTATTTTTTTATATTTTGTTCTCAGTATTTTGATAAGACGCTGTTATGTAATTTACTCAGATCGAAGCATGATAGTCTCAGAAGTGAAGTTATAGAGCTCCAAATGCAAATTACATTTTGTTTTTGTTATGTCATGTCATAGTAATAGATAATGGTAAATAGATATTTCAACTGTACACATGTAAGAACAAACAAGATAACGGTCTTTGTATGTAACATAAGCTTATTCAAAATTTATTATACATTTAGTTTTTAAATAAAATTTCTGTAATTCATGACTATTTTTACCCTTGTAAATATTTTCTTTTTTTAATAGTGTGGCGCAGTTAAACTAAGATGTTTTATTGATTTTATATCTTTGTGAAAGCAGCATTAATAAATAGCTAGTGACAGTTTAAACGTTTATAAAACCCGCCACTGGTTAGTTAGTTACTTCGATATAGTTGGCAACAATACAGGTAATGCCAATGTCAACAGATAACGCACGTGCACGTTGTTTAAATGACATTTGCGGTTTAATGTGTTGACATTTTGACTACTTTTCAAAAAACTAGTCTTCAACAAGAATAATAACTACATACAATGAGCGTTAACGATGTGTTTGAAACAGTGGGAGGTTTCTGCCCAGACTGTGGATCAATTTTGCCACCATTACGTGAAAAAGGAGGAGTAACGTGTTACACTTGTGCACGCAATTTCCCAGCTGAAGGTATTTATTATAAACAACGTGATTTTTAATTAATAAAATTCTGTTAGTTTTTAAGGGATATAAAGTGACATATACTGTCCACTTTAATTCAAGGGAAAAATTTCAGTCAAGAGATGATAAAAAGGGAAAGAATGACGAAGATGAAGATGAAGGACCTGTTGTTGATAGGAAATGTGCAAAATGCGGTAACGAGAAAATGTCCTATGCCACAGTACAGTTACGATCTGCTGATGAAGGCCAGACAGTTTTTTATACCTGTACAAAGTGTAAATATAAAGAGAGTGAAAACTCATAGGTTATAAATACATATTATATTGTGTCATTACCTGTACTTTTTATCATGTGTTCAGAATTTGTACGTACGCTTCATATTAGTGTTTAAAGTAACAAACAATTGGTTTTACTGGGGTTTCACAATAACTTCATACATTTCAAAAGTGTTTCCAATATTAAAATATTTGTAATTTTTGAATTCATTTTACAAACTGGACAATATTTGCCGCCAATTTATAGTGGTAGAATAATCAGCGATTCATCACTGAAAATTGAATCATTACTCCGTGAGATCATTGGTTTTGACTTTTGAGGTTGGTAGTTCGGAAAACGACAATACAGGAAAGTCTAAAAAAATATTTTGGGTCCAAAAACCAAGCACCATTATTTTAAATTTTGGGGATTTTTCTATGTCAATATTGGTAATGCAGTTTCCCCTAGAACACCTACCTTCATTGTCTAGTTGAAAAGTCACGTTGTGAGAAGAATAAAAAAACGTTTTAATTTAAAAAAAATTAGTGTTCAGAAATCTTAAAGTCCGAAATTAGTGAGCAAAATGATGGTAAGTCAACAATCCGGATTTCCATTTTGTTATGTATCATATGTTATTAATATAAAATGTTGGTTGGGCTACCGGCACCGCACCTGTATCTAATCTATTTCATTTCTTTGAGCAGCAACCACAAATTCTTTTACTAAAAGAAGGGACAGACACCTCTCAAGGAAAACCACAACTTATATCAAACATAAATGCCTGCCAGTCGGTAGTAGATGCAGTAAGAACAACTTTAGGTCCTCGGGGTATGGACAAACTTATCGTAGACAAAAAAGGTAAATCTACAATTTCTAACGATGGGGCTACCATAATGAAACTGCTGGATATCGTCCATCCCGCCGCCAAGAGTTTAGTTGATATCGCAAAATCTCAAGATGCTGAAGTGGGCGATGGCACTACCAGTGTGGTTCTCCTTGCTGGTGAATTTTTAAAACAAATTAAACCTTACGTTGAAGAAGGCGTCCATCCGCGTATCATAATTAAAGCAGTGAGAAGATCACTACAGTTGTGTTTAGACAAAATCAATGAGCTTGCTATTAAGATTAACAAAGCAAATGCAACTGAGTTTCACTCACTTTTACAAAAGTGCGCTGCTACTGCCATGAGTTCGAAATTAATTCATCAACAACGTGATTTCTTTTCAAAGATGGTTGTGGATGCGGTGTTACACTTAGACGAATTGTTGCCTTTGAATATGATTGGTATTAAGAAAGTTCAAGGGGGTGCTTTAGAAGATTCAGTTCTTGTAGCTGGTGTGGCATTTAAGAAAACTTTCTCGTATGCAGGATTTGAAATGCAGCCTAAAGTTTATAATAACTGTAAGATTGCTCTTCTCAATATTGAGCTTGAATTGAAAGCTGAAAGAGATAATGCTGAAATTAGAGTGGACAATGTTAAAGAATACCAGAAAATTGTAGATGCAGAATGGAATATTCTGTACCAGAAGTTGCAGAAGATACATGAGTCAGGGGCCAATGTTGTTTTATCCAAGCTTCCAATTGGTGATGTTGCCACACAGTATTTCGCTGATCGGTAAGTTTTTTTTTTCAAAGTTGTTTTCCTTTGGCGCTATTCATTAAATTAGAATTGTGCCAAAAAAAAACGCTGAATATTAATCGTTTATGTAAATAAATTAAAAAACTCCCGTACGTAAATACATATTTGTAGTATTCAAAAACATATTTCTTCATAGGTTGAATGCTTTATTCATATGTTTGAATTCAATATTCAATAATTTTCTGGAGAAATCATTGCTATCAGCCTGCTACAAAATTACAAAGAGAAAATTAATTCATTGCAACAGTTATTAACTGTTTTCCTCCTTTCTATTAGGGACATGTTCTGCGCCGGCCGCGTTCCCGAAGAAGACCTCAAACGCACCCTCAAAGCTTGCGGAGGCGCCGTCATGACGACGGTGCACGACCTCAACGACTCCGTCTTGGGCAAATGCGAATACTTCGAAGAGAGACAAATCGGTGGCGAACGCTTCAACTTCTTCAAAGGTTGTCCAAATGCCAAAACTTGCACCATGATCCTGCGCGGCGGAGCCGAGCAATTCCTCGAGGAAACCGAACGGTCACTCCACGACGCCATCATGATCGTCCGAAGAACGATCAAAAACGACGCCGTCGTCGCTGGAGGCGGCGCCATCGAGATGGAACTCTCCCGAATGTTGCGCGACTACTCCAGGACCATCGCTGGCAAAGAGCAGTTGCTGATCGGAGCCATCGCCAAGGCTCTGGAGATTATCCCCAGGCAGTTGTGTGACAACGCGGGATTCGACGCCACGAATATTTTGAACAAGTTGAGGCAGAAGCATGCGCAAAACCACTGCTGGTATGGCGTGGACGTGAACAAGGAGGATATCAGCGATAATATGGAAGCGTGTGTTTGGGAGCCAGCTATTGTTAAGGTAAATGCTTTGACGGCCGCCACCGAAGCGACTTGTTTGATTTTGTCGGTTGACGAAACTATTAAGAATCAAAAGTCGGGAGATGCTCCACCAGCAATGGGGCGCGGAATGGGGCGGCCAATGTGAAAGGCAAGTAGGTAAACTCGTTTTCAATTTTTATTTTTTAACTTTGGCATTAATCTCACATGTGTAGTAGAGTCAAATAAGTTATTTTGTAATGTTGTGCTTAGTTGCAACACTGATGCATTAATAAATAAAATCATTTAACACCAAAATTGGATATTTTTATGCGTTTGGGAGTTTAGGGATCAAAACTACCATGAGGGTGAACCCCAACTCTCCATCTGTGCTTCTAACAGTGTGTTTTTACACCTGTGTCAACGGTTACATGACTGGAATAAGATTATTTTTAGGAAATGATATTTAGGTATAAGGTGTCTAGATATTTTGACTAAAGTGATCAGCTGACTTCTAGCGGAAGTTACTAATCGTTTTATCAAACATAAATAGAAATGGAGAGGATCATTTACCAATGATCTTAAACTACGAAAATTAATATGGTGCACTTGCGATGCTCGTCCTAGGCTCAAACCACATAAGTCCTGCAAGAGATATGGTTACCCTGCATAGTCACTATTTAATCCCTTTTCTAATTTAAGCGTTCAAACACTTTTTGAAACTCAAATATTCATTTTACAAAAAATACTTGACATAGTTCTGACGACATTTTTGTTAATTTTAATGGAAGTATAGGCCATCCACGAAAATAGTTAGTGGTTTTACGACTTTTACTCTTTCGCCATCTTGTCAACGAATATTGCAGCTTATTAGGGCCGTTTTCCGTGGTGAAATTTTTTATATAAAATTTACGAAGCCTATGGGTTTTCTCGAGGGGTTTCTAGTATGTACAGTGATGATGGGTAACTCATTATCAGTGACGGCGGCCGGGCGGCGTTCGCATAAAGAAAAACCTAGAGCGGCTTGCCGGAAGTCTCGACGGCGCACAGTGGTCGATTTGTCAAACCTAGATGGACACAAATAAAACAAAGTCATTTTCAGAAATAAAATTTAATTCTAAAACAAAAAGTTCCTATAAACAAATGAGCTAAATTGTCTGGTTTTCGAGATACTGCAAAAAAAAATATATTAATACGTTCGTATCTACTTGTTAGAATTATTTCCTATTTGAAAGTGTTGCGCTATAATATAGATTATTTTATAGAATATTAACTATATAATACCAATAAATATAATAATAATAATAAGATTAATGAAATAATAATACTATGTACCTATAAAATGATTAATACTAATGAAAACAAATTTAAATGCATCAACGACTATTAACTAACAACTTATTGCTTATTTATTAATTACTGTTAAATACTGTTAAAAACACTAAACTGGATATCACATTAAAACAAATAACTTATTCATCAGAGTCTGAAGTAGAGAGCAGTGGCGGCTCCTCAGAGGAGGCAGGGGAGGCTGAGCCTCCTCTGTTTTTTGGAGCTGAGCTTCCTCTAATTTTTTCGATGAAAGAATTTGTATTTTTATAGACATTTGTTACTATTCAGAATATTTTGTTTGATTTAATTTACTTTCATCATATATCAGGTTAAAATATCGAAAAAAATTATATTTGCGCCCTTAAATCATAATTCACACCACTCCGCGTTTGGCTTCAGCCGTAGAAGCTAGCCTCCGCCGAGAATGCATCTTACTATTGAGACCGCAACCTTGACGCATAGTCATTCAGCACTGCATTGGCTAAAATGTTCATCGTGGTGCCGCTTCAGGCCGCTAGCCTCCGGCTAGTGCATCTCTTTTCAGATCAAGTCGCACGGATTATTTTATCTCTTTCTTATTAACTCGCGCGATCGGGTGTAAATTGGAAAAACATTGAGGTGGTTTCGCGTGCTCCCTATTCAGTGGTGAATGGTGTTTAGGCTTTAGTACCTACGTAAAGCCTAAGGTGTTTTTTATATCATTTATTTGCGTTTTATTTCTGATCGTTAAAAACAGCTGGTATTATCGGCATATTAATATTACTTATACTTAACGAGAATGAGCAACGAAAATAAGTCAGTCTCATGTGCAGTGTAAAGGCATGAAAAATCACAGGAACACATATTTTCTTCTACTACTTTAGATTCCGCTCATAAGAGGGATATTGAGAACTATAACGAGAAAGTTGGTGAAAATAGGGCAATTTTGAAAAGACTAATCGATGCAATAGTTTATCTATAGTGTTCTTTTCGTGAGCATGACAAAAAAATTATTCAGATAATGAAGGATATAAAAAGTATTGGTTTTCAAATTTGAGCCTCCTCTGAAGAAAACTTCACGAGCCGCCACTGGTAGAGAGTTCATAAGGCGAATCTTCTTCTGTGTCTGTATCCATAGTATCAAGTTCGATTTCGGTCGAGGCTTCAGGTATTGTCTGAAGCAACGATAATACGTCTGGTGATAAAGTGCTGCTTTTTTTCTGTTGATGGGTCCTTAGGCTGGTTATTAGAGGATCTGATGTAATTAAGAGCATATGCATCAAATCTTCCATTGTTTCTTGTCGCGAAAATTTTCTGCTGTGACGTTCTCTAAATCCTTTACAATTTTTATTTCTCGCTTCTTGGGCTTCTTCCGATAATTGCCCAATAGGCAAGATTGCTGACGAAATTATGTCACCTCCATGTATTAACAGTTTATGTACACTTGCTGGCATGTAGTACCAACCGTATTCTTTTACATACATTTCGGCAGTGGCAAATGTGTATTTATTAAACGCATCTAGATTTACTTTATGTCCTGTCGAAATAGCCTCTAAAATTACACCAAAACGTTTAATAAGTTCTTGGTTAATACCTGTTATTCTAGACGATATTTCAGGATTTTTAAAAAATCGTCGAGCGGTATTACCGTCATTGGTGGTTCCACTACCAGGCTTTGGTACATCCACTAGTAATCCAGTTTCTTCCTTAAATTTATCTTGTATTAGTTTCTTCCGTAATTCTACTGCCTCCTTGTCATGCTTTTTTATCTGCCAGGTTTTTGTGTTAACACGATACGCAATGTGCAACAGACATTCAAAACATCTAATCCAGGCATGCAAATTGGAAATACCAAACGTCAAAGCCAATGGATTGACTGTTCTAGTTTGGTGACTTTTCAGGTTATTCATTTGTGTTGGAGTAGCTCCACATATATAACATTTCTGCGATGATTGTCCCATCACAGCATTGCAAACTTTGCCATTAACCATTGTCATCACAAGTTGGTGTGATACCATCACTCTATGGTTTTGATGTAGTAATTCTGTACAACTTAGTCCACTAATTTGCTGTTCTATTTCAGCAACTTCTTTTTTTGTCATCTCAGCTGTTTCCTTTTTAAAAATTAATTTTATGGGACGGCAATAGCTTGTCGATGATGGTTTTGGATTTTGCCATAAGACCTTTCCATTGCAAGTCATTTGTAATGGTACCATGGAAATCACAAATAAGAATGAATCATCTGCCTGTGGTTGATTTGTAAATTTTTGCTTATAATGTCCCTGCCCAGAAGCACCATCACATCCCCACTTATATATCATTTTGATGTTTTTTTTTTCATCAGTGGTTAATTCATTAAGCAGACGTTCTTCTATCGACATTATCAAACGTTGAACCGTGTGATTCAACAACGCTTGCAGGTTTACTTCGGCGGAAATCTCGGAAATCTTTATGCTTTTTGGGTAGCAAGCTTTCTTTGCGTCCAAAAGTTGGTCATAACCTGGGTATATATTTGCGTTTTGTTTAATTGAAACTTTTCTAATCACGGTATATTGATGTTTCGTTAATTTAGTATCAACAAACAATGCCAAAGCTTCTTCAGAGCTTAATTTTTTTGGTAAGTCTTTTGCAGGTCTGTGAAACGCTTTCTTAAGTTTTGTGGCCCTTTGTGGAGAGGATTCCGTGATTTCTTTTACAATTCGTGCCGCATCTCTCCGACCACCTTTGCGTAAAGTCATCTCTGTAGCAAAATTAAGGCGTTCAGGTGTAATATTTAACAGAAGCTCGACTTTTCGCTTTTTTGTTTTTGAACTAGATTCAGGAAATAGCTTCTTAGGACGACCACGACTACCAGAACTAGTTCCTGGCAGGTTAGTTTTATTTGCTTCTGCTATTTCGGCTTTAAATGTGAGTGCAACATCCAGCCATTTTGCATTTGCAAGAAGAAACCTACTCTCCATTCTATTACTACTTTTCCATTTATTTTCTGCGTGACGGCAAAAATACCTTACTCTTTCCGAAATAGTAGTTTTAATAGACTCACTGATGTCCGTAAGATTCAGATGCTTTACAATAAAGTTGTATACCTCCGTTTTATTTTGCGCGGGAGTTGTAGCGCGGCGCCATATGTCGAATAACACACGTCTAGATACGGCGCCGGCGGTGGCATTCTCTAAAAAAATTCATAATTAATAAAGGGGCAAATTGGGGCAGTATGTTTTTTTTTTGTCTTATAAAGAATCAAACGCGGAATATGCCGACATTTATTCCGTCAGTGCCAACTGATGCCAACATTATTAAAACATTACTTAAAGTTGGGCTTTTTTACGATTTCCTGCATTTGAATAATATGGTGTTTTTAACTAATTTAGGCGTACGGTCTTGTAGTAAAATTAATTACATACCTTCGATAGGAGTATCCATAATAATGTATAACCTTCAAAACACTGTTTTCACAAACATTCTTCAAATGACGTGATACTTTCGTACGTTCGTACTGACTGACGCGTGAACTAGAGCTGTGTCGGGGTGGTTTTACCTGCTTCATAACAATGAAACCGGGAAAGGAAACAGTTTTATTGCTTTGGATTTATTATTCATAAACATTTGTCGTCCCATCGGCATTAAATGGTTGCATTTGAAAAATAAAAATTTTCTATTTTTGTCCACCTACATTTAACAAATCGACCACTGTGCGGCGGGTTCCAGAAAAACTTCGAAGCGGCATTCGCGAACCATCCAGAGGAACACAAGATTATTTAAGTAGGGACCACTGTCAGAAGCAAGCTAGTCGAGTCGGAATTATTTAATCTCTACACAATATCTGTGTAGAGTGTAGTTTTGTATTACCCTGAAATAAATTGTTGAGTTTTACCCACGCCGATTTTAAATTACCACAATATAAACCTATTTCGTGAACATTTGAAATGATTTGTGTAGGGGTTATCATTATCTTCTAATGGTCGTCCTTTAAGAGAAACGACATAAAAACTGCAACAATAGAAAAGGTTTTATCTGAAATATTTATCTCTGTAGTGCGAGAATTGCGAGAAAATCTCTTTATGATAATAAGCTGCTTCTCAAGTCAGTCGGACAAGGATGTTCCAAGATTTTAATTCAACACGAGGCTAAACATTACAAAGAAATAAAACAAATAATATAACTTCACTCAATCTTCTCTAATGTAAATTACTCTTACTTAAAATCATCGGTATTTTTATTGACTGCTTTACGATGTTGTACTCATCAACTTTAATGTAAAATGATCCCATGTTTGTTAAAATTGTCGTATTAATTCTTGCAGGACTTTATTGTAAAAATTTTTTTTATTCCACATTATCTCCATAGGCACATCTGGACTATCAGAAATGCCCATTCCAAAAGCAGAATGCTGTTTCCTTAGACCACTTTAAAGATATTTTAGACATGACAAAGTACACCATATTTTTTGAAAACCTTCAGAGTTCATGTGTATTCTTATATCGTAATTTTTGACCTTCCTTATGATATTTATGTAGATTCTAAATCGCTTTCTCCATTTGATCCCGTCCATAATAGTACATTAGGCTGCTGGTAATTGACACATCCACTTTCACGAATAATTCTTTGATGCTATTCTTTTAATATCTGCAGTTTTGTTTTTATAAATGTATGGGAGCTGTAGAACCGTTATTTTGTAGTCACAACATTTTTAACAATGTATCATAAGCATAATTACAAAAAAAAAAATCGATTTTTGAACCAAAACCGACTATATTCTTCGAAAATACATAACTAAAAACAAGTTAGAATCTCAAAAATAAGAATTAAAAAATGTATAGGACCTGTTTGACTATACTTATGTTTTTTATATTAACTACATAAAGTGGACTTTTTGCAAGCGGGCCGATAAACCTTGGAACAGGGTTGATTCTCGTTACACGCTGTAAAATTCATTTTTATTTCAAGAATCGCATAAAAGTTATGATCATTAACAAAAAAAAATTAGATTGCAAAATTTCTGTTAACCAATAGGTAGATTGCCTTCACTTGAAATTACGAGATTATTGCAGAGAGCCACTAGATGTCATGAACAAAATGAGTAAAGTGTATGCCAATCTCAATGATAACCATTTTGCAGTGAAAATTTTCCACTAGATATTTTTGTTAAACAGATGATAAGAATGAAAGTTGAAGGTCAAAGTTTAAAAATACGAATTATTTGCTTTATGGAATATACTGATATCTGCATCATGTTAAAGTAACCGAAAACTAAAGACTTTCCAAACAAAAAAATAAACTCCCCCAAGAGTGATGACAATCCAAAACATGAAGACATTCAAAACACCCGATAGGCATGCATTCGTTTTTCTTTAGAATAGATTTGTTATTCAATTTTTCTATTACTCATTCCATGCATTTGAAGTCGATTTCGTTTACTTCCTAATTTTTCATCAAAAAAAGTATAGATACATATTTATTTATTTATTCATCGAGTTACTGTTTAACTTTTATTGTTATTAAAAATACTCGCTGCTGATTGGCCAAGTGAGAGTTAATTTTACCTCACATGTATATATGTACTTGTGGTATGCGATATAGCTCTCTATTACAATGATGGCGGTTTGCTGTTTAGTACATGCATTCTATCTATAGCACGATACAATATTAACTTGTGTATGTAATTATGTATGTCAGCGACTACGTAAACTGCGTTTGGAACTCGATCGTTTTAGCTTGTAAATTCTTGGACAGATAAAAGTTCATTTAGCACAGTATATATTTTTAATTTTTTTTACTAGTATAAACAAATTCACACTAATACCGTAGCTAATACTAGCGCGGTGTCCACATTCGCTGTTTCCACAGTATACGTATAAATGTATGTATAAAATATTTATTACAGTTATAAAAAGAAAACTTCCTTCATATGTATATAAATTAGACATTTTGCTAATAATTCCGTGCGAATGGCCCGGTATTTCTGTCCTTGTCTTATTAGTTTTATACAGAGTGATGTGTAGAAATACTGGCTGTCATAAATAATAAATCAAACGCAAAGTGAAAAACAAATAAATATCGTTTGATATTTTTCGATAATATAATAGTCAAAAAATCGAAAACTGTTTCCTAAAATAATTTTTCCAAAGATGGCAGATGATTATTCATAAACAGAAATGTAATAAACATGATTTGACAGAAGTTCATACTTTTAGGATAATCCAATTACGACCTTAAAAGTTAGGTGTGCCACTTCGATTTGCCAGGACTATACACCCGCTGCCGGGCAGATAAAATTTAGCATATCCATAGAATTATCGAAAATTACGTTATCACTTGTTGACAGAAGTTAACAGTTTACTCATTTAACAAATTTATTTATGGTTATTATGCGTCGTTGCCAGATTTCGAAGTTAAAAAACTATATAATGATGTATATATACTTTATAAAAATAACCTTGACATTCATCGCCGCAAACACGTCATTTATTTATCCTGGTGTTTAAGTAACCATAACATAACTACCATATTGGAGTGCTACCTGTTTTCTTTACATCGGTCGATATCCAGCTATGTAATAAAGTAAAATATGAATGGGTAAATATTTTTGCACATTTCTAAATTTCAGTACGCGGGAAAAAAAAACTTAAATAACTATAAAATGGCTTAGTTGTCCCCTATGTTAAGATTTTATTTATGCTACAATTTTTTTTATTATTATTATCTATATAATAAATACTTAAAATGAGGTTCCCACTTATTTTGAATGGAGTAATGGACTCTTGAAATTAATCACAACTAATTTTCAATTAACGCGAGATCTTTTTCACTTGTTCTTTACATTTTCAGAATGTAATAATCATCACACTTATTGCTGTATGATTTTAAACACAGCGACAGTTTTTTTAAAACATTGTACCATCATCATTGTTTTTAAAGTTTTGGTGAAATTTTTTTCACGTAATTTAAAATTTAATATGTCAAGTATTTATGGAAATTTAGGAACGCGGTGTTCACCACTGTTTTCAGTTTATAGAACTCTATAATTGTCGATTTCTTTTTTTTTTAATGAGATACAGCAAAAGTACATTCTTCGACACAAACTTCTCATTTCCGACCAAAAAAAATAAATGGTCTATGGTTATTTCGACAGGACTTCCCTCGCTCTGATGAAAAATTGGGAAATAAATTAAATGAACCTCAAACATATGGAGTGAGTAATAGAAAAATTGAATAACAAATTCCGTTTCTTTGAGAAATTAAAAAAAAAACATTATTTTGGGAACTTTTATTTGTGATACCCTTCATACATTAAAACAAATATAGATAAATAATACCAGTAACAATGTAAGAAGCTAAATAACATCATATAAATGTGTTTTAACATCCTATAATACTTCTTGTTTGTCTACATCTCACTTTTTTTTAATGACACTATATATTTTTTTAGAGATTCTTGTAGAGCTCGTTTTTCCGAATACTTCAATCACCCATACCCACCATTGATTCAACACATTCTGTTACGAAAACACACTTGTTTATATTGGTCTAAAATGTCCCGTTGTTCATTCATAATAGAAAACGGATACAATTGCCTCAAAAATATGGACGCATTGATAAAGTAACTCTGTATTAATGATTTTTCCCACCTGAAAATGTCCCGGTCAACATTATTTAGCAAACTATGTTCGCATATAATACTAATCATAAAACACTAACAAACAATCGACAATGTTTCCTGGGTAAAGTACAGAGTTCTGTAAGCTAAAAGCAGTGGTGTGTTACGAAATTTCCATAAATAATAGATATTGATTTTTAAAGGTACGTGATGAAAATTTCCCCAAAATGCTAAAAAGATGACGATAAACTGTTTTTAAAAAACTGCTCGTGCGTTATATAGCGGAAGGTATAGGCATGTCATATTTAAAATTTCATAACAATAGGCGTATTAATAACGGAGATATTACGTTCTGAAAATATATGTATTGAAAATCCCATGAACCAAAAGTAGAGACTCCTCTTAAGGGTTTTATGGACCATGTTTATTTCCATTCCGTATTATTTATTTTGAATAACTCCATTTTATCGTAAATTTTGTTGGTAAGTAGTAGTTTTTCCAATAAGCATACATGAACACAAAAAACATGTTTATATTTAAAATTGTGAGTAATGTTTATATACAAATGATGTACTACTTGTAAAATGTACAATTAAAGGGGCCATTACGAAATTTGAATGGTTATTGATTTTTTAAAATAGGTGATGCAAAAATTTCACTAAAATTAAAAAAAAAGATCACAAACTATTTTTAACAAAACTGCCATTGCGTTATAACTACATATAAAGAAAGTTATGGACAACATATGTATATTTAAAATTTCACAACCATAAGCCTGTTAATAATGGAGAAAACGTAGCAACTGACCATGAGGCTAAATAAAATGCAACCTCACATGCACGAGATTAAGAACAATTTATAAACCACCCATTAAAAGCCGATTTACGGAAGCTCAAGTACCTATTTGATTACAGTAATTAAATGTTTAATGCGGTATTAAATTACCATGTGACCGACTCTAGGCCAATCAAATGTCGCTACACGCCGTGTCAAATGCCTGATTAACAGAACCACAATTTAAATATTGCCTAAATTGACCCTAAAGTTTTGATAGCTATCATTCATATGTCGATACTTTTTGTTAAAAATGTGAATGACCTGTAAAAGTTTTAAATTATAACCTAATTTCAAGATGTGTTGTATTTTTTACTTATTAAGGATGAAATAAAGCAGTCTAAGAGTCAACAAGGTCCAAAGATCTATAAAATTTTAGTAGCAGTGGTCATAAACACCGTATTTGCAGTTAATTATTATCATCACAATGCTTGTTAATATGGATGGGAATAAGTGGGCAATTTCACGACAAAACGATGCATAAATACGTCTACTTGCATAGATACAAAGGTTATTAAAAATTTCTACGCCACTTGGCGATCTAATAATAATCATTTGCATGAAAGGACTAAAATCACCTTGTATACCCCAGAGGGATAATTGAATTGCAAATACGCGGATATTTATACTTGAAAAAAGAAAACACAGGATGTGGATTCAGCCATTCGTATCACGCATCATTCGTTAGTGTCGTTTACGACAACAACAAAACCTGTTTTAAATTATAAACTCACACAGCAGTTGCTGTTTACATGTTCGCGGTTATAAACATTAATATAAATAGAAAATATCGACGGCTGCTTATTCGTCCTTTTGCCCCTTACGCACGGATGTTTATAGATCAATATTTTTATTCCATCATTAAATCGAACTTAACGATATTGCCGCACTGTTGTCAAAGTGTGACCCTATTATTTATGGAACCCAGTATCAATGATTTTTTTATCAGCTTGAACATTTCAACCATACACGTTTTTTTTAAGGCGTTCGATAAGCAAACTGCGCATTTTGTTGTAACAATACATGTGACCAAGGTTTAAATATAAACGTTGGCTTTTTTGATAACTTTATCAATCTTTCGCAATTTCCTTACATAAATAACGATCACAACATGCATATTTATAATATTATGCAAATAGGTATTTACATAAGTAAATTGGCGACTATTACTCTGCAATTTCACCACTTAAATTCTATAAAAATATGGTTGGTGAACACTTACGTGAAACGACGAAGGCGTTTCTCCTTATATGGCGATGTCTCTAAAACGTGTACACGTGATTGCGAATAAACAACACATAATAATATAAAATCAAAGTTCGTATTTAGACATTTTCGAAGTTTGCGAAATCTCTTGTGCGAAATATTTGGCGGGGTTTGACCCCCAGGAAGGAGTTCGGGATGGGAAGGGTTCAGGGAAAATCTGGGTTAAATGGGATATTTTATTGAGGGATAGGAACGAGGTATCACAGATTTTAGGATGGAGATGAAATATACATGATTTTTTTTGTTTACAGTTAAAATACATATTGCTAGTAATGACTCTTGAAGTGAACGCATGAGATCTGAGATTCCTAATTAAAACTTAACGTAAACTAAATTAGAGATCCTAGTACCCCTCTGATAAAAGTGTGAAGTTAACAAATTTGGTATGGATTTTGTGCGTGAACAAAAATATAATTCTGAAGAAACATAAATAGAATCTCTAATACATAAAAATTTTATCACCAAACTGAAACATAAATTTAGGACAATAATATTGCACATCACTGCAACTTGTTACCCAGGCATTTTGGAAGACTTTTGCATCTCGTTTGCCTCAAACAATTTGAATGATGAAGTTTCTGCAAGTGATGTACAATTCAACGATACAATGGAGGGGAGATTTCACAATGCATTTACAAAATTCCTTTTGTCATGATGTGTAGATCGAAGGTGTTGAATTGTACATCTTATAACTATTATGAATCTTCTTAGTTTAAGAGTGATTACACATTTGTACTGCGTTTTAACAAAAATACACGTCATAATTGACGGATCATTTAGATGTTTTTATAATTCTGTTTGGATATCAAAATAGCATCCAATAATTTGTACTGTTATCCATACTGTTGATACCAATTTAAATTGACTTAATGATCTCCGTACCTATAATTACTTAAAGCTTTGTTTTTGTGCATCAGCAGCGTTTGTAATATTGGTCCAGTTCAGTCGTCCTATGGTAAAATCCATAGGGGTGGGGGGCCAACATTACAAAGCGGCCGAAGCACGAGACTAGATATGGATGCTACTTTGTTATTGCAGAGTATTACGAACTAAACATATATCGTGACACTTATTTGAGCACTGCTCACAATCACAAATACAAACTCAAATTTCTCTTCTTACAATTTTCAACAGTTGAAAAAAATCACATTCAGAAATAGACTTAAGTAAAAGTTAAAACTATAATATATATCTACACTCTAATACAATCACTGGTTTTGTGAGTAGTGATTGTGTATCACAGCGCGGCTGAACAGGACAATCTGGAATTGTACGAAACCAGGACCATCTCGATTGTAGTACCGTCCTTAGGCGTAATAAAAATAACCGGAATTTAGTATTGTCGTGTTCACTCGCTACCAACAGACTTAAAATTAGTGTTCAGTAGTCCTCAATAGTTCACTCGTCGTAAATTTATATATAAAGATATCAAATGTCTCTTGAGGTGGCACCTTCGACTTGTCTCAGGTCAGGCCTGCACCTTGAGCAGCACCTTGAGCTGGGCGTCGATGTCTTGCTGCTCCGGCTTCGGTTGCCTGAAGGGCAGCGAGTGCGAGTGGGGCGCCTGCATCCAGTGCTGGGGCGGCGGGGGCAGTGCTGAGGGCAGGGGCGGCTCGGTCCACTTGCAGCCCGCATAGTGCCCGGCGCCCGTGGGCGAGGCGGCAACGCCGCTTCTCACGGGGCTGTGTCGGGGGGTGGCGCCCCGGGGGCGACCGCGGGGGTTCCCGTCCGAATTCTTCCGCGCCATTGCTGCACTGACACACTTCGCAACTGTTGAGTCTTTGCAGCGGAAAATGAACATAAAGTCTCGTTGTATCACAGACCAAGATGTCGAATTTTGCGTGAGAAACCCGACTTGCTTTCACAAAATGGACGCACTAAACAAAGGATCCAGATCGCACAGATGGGACGATTTCGGGATCCGGAGGTTTCGCTGTCACTGAGAAAAGCTTTCGACGACGAGTTCACGGCTTTTTAACGCAAAATCCGCACTAACTGGCAATTTCTCAAACGTTTCTACGAAGACAGAGCTTCCAACTTGCCTTTCTCCTTCTCCTACACTATCAAAACAACACTCTTTGTAACATTTTTCCGATTACACGGGAGCTGCGTCACACGACTGCGTCAATCGATACTCATTTTGCCGGCCGCTGATTGGCCGAAATCGAGGGGAAAAACACGTCAGACGGAGAGAGCGACTGTTGTTCGCCTTGTTTCGTCCGCACCCATAGGAAATGCTCCACGTCCCCTCCATCGACGGTCACTTTCTAGAACAAGGATCAATAGAAAACATTTATGACGTCGACAAAAATTACTACGGAATGGGAATAAAGCCAGGACCGAACTTGTTTTTTTACTCATTTTTTCTTTTCAAATATAACCATCTGTTTCCAGCATTTTATTCGGTTGAACAATAAACACATAAGTTTTAAAGCAACCGTCAATAGTCAAAACGATAACCGCGTAGTAATATTCTCGAAGTATCATGTAATTAACGATACACTCGATTCTCCATTTAGCTTACATTATTGATGTCCATTTGGGAATGGGAGATATCGACGGGTTTGTTAATGACCCGCACCTTTAAAGGTGTACAGACTGTAAAAAGTTAATGTTGTTTGGCAAGGAATAATTTCAAACATATTTTATACGGGATTTCTATAAATAGATTTGCTTTCGCCAGTGCCGTATTAAAATATATTATTGCACACTTTAAAGTAATCTTTTCAAAATGTAATCAGGAAAATGGACTATTCCAAGCTAGTTTTTCAGTTATGTCATAAATTGAACCAGTTTGTGGTGTAGCATTCGGTAATTTAGGCTTTTCTGACGTAAGAGAAGAACATGTAAGATTGAACTTTACATTTTATTTCACTTCTGGTTTAAAACTGATGCAAGACGTAGAAATAAGCAAAGCTGAAAACAATTAAATTGCTATTTAGAGTGACGTTGTCAACAAATTAATACAATAAGGCTCTGTAAAATAAAATCAAACAAGAATAAACAGCAAACAATAAATTTTAACGTACGTTAAAAATTACGTTTAATCTAAACTAGTATTTATGATGGATTCACGAAACATGTTTGTGTAAATTATACCTGTACTAAAAATTTTCTTATTGGTTAAGTATACATATATGTATATATTATTTACAAATAGACACATTTGACATACAGAATTTTTTTTATGAAAAAAAAAATGAAAGCAATATTTGGCTAATTTTATGTTTCGCAGCTCTTTGAGTACGAAAATCTAACTTCTTTGTTTTTCTTTGATTGTCTGAAACTTTTGGCCCACTTTAAGATTATCCTATTGTCTTTGCCATTTCTATTGAAACACCACCTGTTGATTTTGTTTAAAATTTAGCAATTGGTAACAGCTTTCGTTTGATTGACAACGGCTTTTAATTCGAAAATTGTCTGAATATGAACGTTGCCAAATTTACGATTAACAGGTGGTGTTTCAGTAAAAATGGCAAAGACTATACATAGAAATGGTTGACCAAAAAAACTCACGACATGTTAAAATTGTATTAAATAAATTTCCTTTTAGTACCGGATAGTGGTGGTTTAACCATTTACTCATATTCTTCACTATGGGTATACAGACTGTCAAAAAACCAAATTTTACTGGTATTTCTGAGATTGAAGATTTCTTTCAAATTTTAGCAAAACACGTCGATTTAGGACGTATAGTAGAGCATTTCCTTCTATTTATGCAAAAATACTAGGAAATAATAAAAATGCAATCATCCTCTCCAGAAAGTTGTTAACGTCATTTCAAGATATTTTACAATAAATATGACTATATTGTTTTCAGTTTATCTTAAAAAGTATATAGACACTCTTTTCCAAAAACGCTTGAAAATTTTTCTTCAAATTGTGGCAACATGATAAGATTATAATTAGTCTTACATTACACATAAAAAATTTAAAAAATAAATATCTCCTGATATTGTGTATTTTGCTTTGTATCGTCGAAATTATGAAATCATGAATGTTTTCTAACAGTTTTGTGTAGTAGTGAACACCGACTTTCTGTTTATTGCGTTTACCTGCTTTTGGGTTGCTTTTCGAAAGGATTAAAGGTTTTGCATATCGGAGGTCTTTGACCAGATCATTATAACAATAGTGGACCTAACGGTATCTAGAGAAAAAGATTTTAGTAAAACTTTATGACTTTTATGGAAGCTTTATGGACTCGAAACGCAAGGATTATTATTTATTAAGTACTGTCTATTGTTGTCCGAATCGAGTTTTAAAGTTTTACTAGGTATATGTCAACTGAATTAAGTTAAACAATAGCCAGTTTGATTTAATCAGCTTAAGTCATGAAAGTTTTAGTATATGTCAACTGAGTTAAGTAGATTTCTAAATACCGGGTAGATACAGTCGCACGCAAATAAATGATTGTCGGCGAAAGAAAAATGCAAACGCCGTTAATTATTTTATGGCAGTAAAACCATTACGCAGTAGGAATGCATTTACTAGAGAACAAATACGTTCCTGGAAAGGTACATACAAGGGTACCGACTAATTTTGATTGACAGTGTACAGCTTCAAAGGCGACTGGAGATTTTACAGCGGCAGTACTCATAATTGGAGTCATTTGCATTTATCGTTTGCCGTACTGTATCCTGCTGTTATAGGGATTACAGCGGGTGAGCCTACTTAGACGAAAAGGGTCGATAGTTCCTACCTGCCTTATTGTCATGAAAATGTAAAGATAAGCTCTTCAGAACTTTCTTTACATAAATTACTGGATTTTTTTTAATAGTTTATCATCATCTTGAAACAGAAGCAATATTTGTGGCTACTTTTACCGTGTCTCTTTTCCAACGAAAAAAGTCGACCCTGTTTTCGGTAGTGTTATAAAGTTTTGTATGCTGAAAACAAACTTCCATAAATAATTGAGATATTAATTTTTAAAGATACGTCCTCAGAAATTTCACCCACATTTTAAGATTTATGACAGTCGGTCATTTTGCCCTTCACAATACAAATGTAAGGTCGAAGTAAGTTCTGACAAAATAACTTGATACCAATTGTTTGTTGAACATGTTCTTATTGTTACTATTAAACTAATATGTATTAATTATCATTATCATGTTACTGTTCAAAGTGTTAATCTTCTGATAATATGTATAATAAAAACAAATTTCGATATTTTCACTCCTTTTGTGTTGCAGTGTTTATTTTATTCTTCAATTATTATCCTAGGGCGTCCTTTTTCCGAGTAATTCACTAAAGTGTAAAACGTCTCTTATAGTTTATAAAATTGAGAAGTTGACGCTATACTTTACAGTTTATTTATATGTTTGTATTTTTTTTCAGAACCGTTGTTTCCGTAAAATATTTTTTTATTTTTGTGGTTATTCACTATCCAAATAAAATACCTGTCGAGTATCGGAATTTCACCCCCTAATAACTCAGGTATGTATACCCAGGTAGCGAAATTCTAGTGACCACCGGTCTGAAACACTCAATAAGTGTACATACACAGCTCAAAAAATATATTTCGTTAGTCCGTACTCAAATCCAAACAAAAATATACTTCTACATGATAAATACAATTTGTTTCGATATACGGATCCATGTTGCTCTTTTGCAAATAGTTTCTACACGTTCTATTTATTTATTTACTTTTTATTCAAAGAGCAGTTTTCCAACACAACAAATTCAAATCTTCTGGCAGGCACTATTGAGAACACCTAAATAATTATAAAATTAATTCTGTTTCCTTTTAAATTTTGGAATCTTCTTTGACCTCTTGCTGCACGACAACATTAAAACGTTTATTACCCGTATAACACAAAATTACAAAAATTGTTAACGCGTTTTACCAACCACGTTGGCATTATTATGTTATAACTATTACAATATTAACCAGTTTTCGTAATTTTATATTTTCGGCGTTATAGAGATAATAAACGTTATAATAGCCTTTGAAGCTTTACTGAAGTTGAAGTCCATAAAGTTTAAAACAAAATACAAATATTTAAGATTTGTAAGTTTTCAAGGTTACTGCTTTTAAATATGATGTCGATTTTCAAAAATTCAAAATAGAGACGTAAAGCTCAAAATCTTACTGTTCTGACTCATTTTTGCTATAGGTAGTTCATTGTTGTTATTTAAACTTGGGATTCGCAGGTGAGTTACGATCTAAGTATTATTTTTAAATAATCCTCTAGACCGGTTTAGAATTAAAATTATGGTCCTGATTTTACAAATTTTGGCCAGCTAACTAGCGTTTGAACCCACCGTTCATGTCAAGTAACTCAGCCAGAACCGATTTTTTTATTTGAATGTTGCTTTTTAATTATCTGGGTTGTAGTGTAGGGTTATAGTTTTAGGCCCGGTTTTACAATGCAAGCTTAAGCGAGGTTCAAAGATAAGCCTTGGTTCAACTGCAGTTGTCCGTTTTACAATACATAGTTCAATGTTAAACCGCGCTCAAACGAAGGCTCAGCTGAGCGCTGATGTCAGGGTGGTTTAAGCTTCGCTCAACTGTCCATAACCTCAAACGTCTGTGCTTTATCGTTTTGGTGGTGTGACAGCATTATAATTGAAGATGCAAAATTTATTAGGAGTATTTAACTGACGATGAAGACGTTTTAGAAGTGATAAACATATTAGAACCGGCACGTATGCGACGACCAAAAGTTTTTCAATTGAGAGAAAATCACTTTGAAAAGTGAAATGCTGGGGAATTTTTGAAACGATTTCGTTTTTCCAAGACTGGCGTACGGTTTATTTTGCAACAAATACAGGAGCAAATTACATCGCGAACGGAAAGAAATCATGCAGTATCACCGGAGCAAATGCTACTTGTGACTTTACGTTTCCTTGCCACTGGATCTTTTCTGCAAGTTGCTGGTGACTTTATAGGGATTAGTAAAGCAACAGCTTCTCAAATAATTAATGTTTTGGGGTGTGGAAAAGACGCTTTCCAGCATTGGCTTTTGGAATTCGTTTAAAAATGTGTAAAGTAGAGGCAGCGGTTGTGGCAACAGCAGTTTTACACAACATTGCAATTATTTTAAATGAAAAATAACCGCCAGTGGACGCAGAAGAAGAAGCAGCAGTGAATTTTGTGAACGATGTTCTAATTGAAAACATTGGAGAATATAGTGGCAATTATAATCAGAACAATTTTGTACGGAACCAGTTCATCAGAGAATATTTTACTAATTTGCATTTTTTGATTTTGTTTTTAGTTGCAGTAAATAATAAAATGTAATGTAATTATTTATTTAAGTTTTATTATTTACAATATTAAATTTTTGGGCAATTAATATTTCAATCTTCATTTGGTGTTCTTTCTTGATTACTTCTAATTCAACTGCAGTTTTGTCTCTCATAATTTGCATTTCTAATTCATGTTTCTCTTTCATGGCTTTTAATTTAAACTCTTGCTCCTTTTGGATGTATTCCTTTCAACTTAGTTCGACAAGTTCTTTGGCAGTGGCCCATTGCTCTAACTTATCACTTGTCTGGTTTCCTTTACCTATACAAACAATACATTAATAAAGTTTTAAGACAAGTGGCAAACATTTTTTAATATAAATATATATACATATAATACCTCTATGATATGGAGTGAGTGCTGAAGATTTTTTTTGCTTCAACATTTTGGGGGTGTATTTAGCCCAATTCCCAGTTTGACCATTTTCTACAAAAATAACCATAGGTACAAGTCAAAACGAATTATTTGATTATTATTAATGTTTACCACTTTCTTTATTGGGACAACTTATTTTATCCATAACAGGCACTTCTCTCGACATTGCTCCGGTTTGATCTTTTGGCATAAAACAATCTGAAATAAATAATAATAAAGAAAAAATAGTAAAAGATTTCTGAATAAAGTGTATGTAAGGATAAAAAGTATTTACCATCATTTTCGTCATCAGAGAGATTATACATTGATGTACATTGTTCTTCCAAATGGGCAGGCGTGGTGATGAGACAACCAACATTTATCCCGCCGTTACTTTGGAATGCTGAAAAGCATCAACATTTTAATTTTACAATACATATTATTAATAAAAATACTTCTTACAGGTTGTTTCGGAATCGCCATCAAATTCGCTGCTATCCCCCATTAGTCTGGCCCCGAGAATTTCTTTTACAGCCACATCAACATCGGTGACCTCAATACTTTGTTGTGACCCTCCCCCAGTACCACCGACATAGGCTTTCTCGTCAGCAAATTTTTTCGTTGTCCTCTTCTTAATGTTATCGTACTTTTTTTTCAAAACTTTGTGGTCCCGGAAGGTCTGGCCAGATAAAAAATTGAACTCTACTTCAATTTTCTTCCAACACTGATTTTTTTTTTGATTTGCATCAGTGTTGGACAATTTACACTCCAGAATATTTTTATACTTGCTCACTAAAGATAGGAGCAGGTTTTCTTCGGATTTTGTAAAATTCGGAGCACGTGTATTACTCATCTGAAACGAAATGTTAAAACCATCATAATCATCTACTTTTAAGGAGCAAATGTTATATATACAAATATACGTACCCCACAAACGCAGAAAACTAATTACTTTGCAGAATTTACCACAAATAATTTATAATAATGTAAACAACTTCGAATCGGCGTACACAAATAATGACAACAAAACAGACCCAACGTGGTCTCAACTGTCAGATTCTCGGGTGCGCGCTACCAACCTAAGGAAATTTGTGGTTCAGCTGAACCGGACGATAGCGGTGTTTGTAAAACGGACGCATGAATTGAACCTCAGTTCAGTTGAACTCAAGTTCAGTTGAACTCGTGTTGAACCGGACATTTGTAAAACCGGGCCTTAGTGTAAATACCACGTGACCGAAAAATATACTCATCTAGTAGGCCAGGTAATTTATTTTTAAAATATAATGCTTTTGGTGTTGCAGGTGTTTGACCCTCTACTTGACAGTTATTTGGCCGTAACTAACAAGAGGAGATTTTTTTTTCGGTCCTATACCTGAAGGAATAAGAGTGTTGCGAATCGAGACTTATGGACTGTGTTTATGGAAAGGGAATTCTTCCCTCTTAAAATTATTCATTTTCAGGTAATCTTTCTTTGTGAAAAGTTTGTCCAGTTCTGTTAGTAAAACCAAGCAGTAAGTAAAAATTATATATGTATAAAACATATCGATAGCAGCGACACACACTAGGACGACGAGGATTTCGATTTTTAATTTGTTTTAATCAATTTTAGAACAAATTCAATTAGTTTTTTCTGTGTTTTGAATGTTGTAAGAATTTCTTGAACAATTAATTTTAGTCTAAAATTCAATTCACTTTCATTCATAGAACTTTTGTTCCGTTCAACCAAGGCAATCAGGACTGTAAATTTCATTACTAAATATAATATATATGTATAATGATAAGGGCTTTTGCTAACTCAAAGTCCATCACTATTTGCCGGATTCTAGTCTAAATAATCTTAAATTTAGTTTATGGTAATTGTTAAGTTAACTTTGTATTATATCTTGAATTTAGGACAGACGTGCGATTTGCAAAGATAACTCGACTGCAAATTATTTTTATACACGACATGACACCCAGTCAGAACAGGCACACACAGAGAGATAAATTTGGCACCCTTACTGGATGTTTTGGCAGTTACGTATAAATGAGGCATGCTGCATGCGTCATTTTCTCATATAAATTTTTATACTTTTTTGTTTTATCAGATCTTACAATTAATATGAATATATTTACGTATTTGCATTTTTCCCAAATACCTGGTATATGATTTTAAGTCTCGAGGAATAGTTTTGTGTGTATAATAAGGTAACGTCACTGAATTTCCACTTTTTGTTATCTAGTTAGCGCGAAATTCGCTGAACACAGCTAATCCAAGGTAACATGTAAAATCCAGTCCCCCACTGACTTAATCCGTCCCTGGTGTAAACAAACCATTTGCTTCTGGCAAGCTTTTCTAGGGTTTTTTGTTTTATCCCAAAGCAATGGCCGTCATGGCCAGACTGTAAATCATATCAGTAATTAAAATAGCGAGCTCAATATCTAAAATTATACACCAAGTATCGTGATTTGGTTAAATTATTGTTAATAATTTGTACTGTCTGGTGCGTCTTTGTAAGTATCACCCTATTACGGTGGTGGTAAATTAGTGAAATTGTAATAATTTTTTTAACATCCTATCCCCACCCCTCATCTTTGTTTGTGTTGGTGTTGTGACAGCTTAGGAGGGTGTACGTAGCTGATTTCACAATAGTTGAGAACATATTTGTAGAAATTCATAATTATTCCCCACTCATGTGCAAATAAGATGGGGCGTAGCACCAAGCAGATGTATTTGTGCCGTTATCTGAGACATTTTGTTCAATAGAATTGTATTGTGAGTGTGCAATGCCCCTATTGGATCAATAGTGTACTACAAATTTATAAAATTACTCATTCTGTCTTACTCAATAGTGATAGTGTATATATGCTACAAGGTTGTTTCAATGTCTATTGTATCTTTAATGCCTCAGCTACAACGCCTATGTTCCAGTTATTACTCTAATGAATTCCAATAACCACAACCAACCTCGAAGGAATTCCTCGTCCTTCAGCAGGCACACGAACAACCATCCAAATAGACCAAACCATGCACACGGGCACCAGAGATGGCCCAATCGCTACCCCAAAGACTACAGCAGGGAATACGATAATAACTTTAATCGGGGGTAAGTCTTAGTTTTCCCTCTAACCCCCATCTAACACTTGATTGCCAGCAGCGAATGTTCAGTACCCCCTAACACTAGCCCAAAAGACTCCAACTACGTTCATGGGTACCCCAAAGTGCCCTCACAACTGAGCCCTGTGTTGAGAAACACCCACCTCCACTACAACAATGAAGCTTCAGGTGAGTCTCCAACCTTACCGTCGGTATGCTAAAACTCCCATCTTAGGACACCAACATCAAGACAGACGCCACATTCCCTTGTCCAACGCCCCTGAAAGGCGACACGCCCCAGTCCAAAACTATCACAACGGTGGTGATAGGCGACATATGCCCACCTTGGGGGACCGCCGCCACATTTCGCCGCCCCTCCACATTAATATCTGTGACAACCCCACAAACATCATTAACAATTCCCCTTCAGACGTCATGCATCAAAGAAACATAATAGATTTTTCAAATTCTCAAAGGAGGCATGGCAGAGGTACAGTCGGCTGCTTGTGCAGATACATATAAGATGGTGTCTTTTTTAACAGAAGTTCGGGTGAGTCCGGTCCATTTCCAGCAGCACTCACCCCAGTTTTATAGGCAAGCAGGTGAAGAAAGTATTAAAAGTGAAAGTCCGTCCCGAAAACGCCGACGCTTGTCGCGATCTGGCCATCATATTGAACTGAATGCTCAACCGGCCTCACCCCCGAGGAGATCCCCAAGGCAGCATCCCCCTACCACGTCCCACCATAATATGCAGGTGAGAAAATCATAGAAAGTGAAGTCAAATGTGTTTGAAACTAATTTTTTTCTTAAAATAAATCAGTTACCGCTACTTCTTTGTAGTGGGAGCTGTGCAAAGTGTATGTTTATATAAAACTCATAATGATAGACGGCACGAAGATAACGTGAATAATGTTGTAAATATAAGCTTGTTGATAAAACTCCATACCAAACGTTTTAAAAATTTTGAGTAAGACAAAAGCGAACACAGCCTTATAGAACTGCCATTAGGTAATTTTTATGTACGTTACAAAGTCCAATACTGTGTCCATGTTGGAAAGGTTGATGATTCAAGCGACTTTTTATGACCAAAATTTAAAAAAGAAAATTATTGGATATTATAAAAAAAGCCTGATGACGTACCATCGTCGTAGCAATGGCTATAAGTAGTTTAATCAGTGGAAAGTGAAGGTTCTGTTTTATTTGACTGTTTTTGCCTATTGTATTTATCTTTACATATAAAGATTTTACTGCGTTGAGTGCGTCACTTTGTACTCATTGTGTATATTTAATTACTTTTTTGTTATTTCATGGCTGCAGACTTCGTTAAATTTTTGAAAATTACATTTTCACTCATTTGTTTACAATTAGTTAATGTTAGCAGCGGCCATTGATAGGAAAGTTGATTCTTGAATTTGTAACTGTGTCAAGAAAAAAATCGGATTTCAGATCTTCATTTTTGAGTAATTTGTTTCACAACATTAATTTAGCAACCAAGTGGTTAAATTTTAATTCTAACTGGGTTTTTGATGCACCATATTCTCATCTGAAATTGATGTATATTAAATACAACAATGTGGAAAATGTAAAGGTTCCATTAAAAAGTAATAATAATAAAAACCTTCATTTAAAAATAATCGGGTTTATTTTATAAATTCTTTATTACATATTTTATTTGCTGTACAGGTATTCGTTCGTGGTATTTGATGACTTATAGAGTGTATAATAATCGTTTAAAATGTTGTTCTGTTAATTTATAAACATTACTTTACCCTAAATTAAAATATACTGAAGGGTCGACGATATTGATTTAACGTTACGTATCAACGTAGGAGTTAATAATATGTAACAGTTTTATAGATAGATAGTGGATAATAAAACAAAGGCACTTTCTCTTATATGTATACATTTTTTATTTATTTGATTGATGTACTACATTTAATCACTACCCAGAGGAAGTGGATAAGGGACACGGTTATGTAGGAGAGTTGGTCGATAAATACGCTTGATCAGTTTGTGCCACTTATTTCGAGAGTTTATCATTAATATAAAACGAATGTTACGAGTTTGATGCTACGTATTGATTCGTTACTAAATTGCCGTGGTACTATTAGAATTTGAAACAGTATTGAAAATTGAGTGCTAGTTTTATTCTATTCATGTATTGTAATAAGCAAGAAACAAATTAACCTCATGGTTCACAATATATCAAAATATCTTATTATTGTTTTCCTTGTGAAACTTGTAACTTTCCTTAGTAACTTTAGCCAGGCTGTGAATTTGTATCTCTAGCGTTCGTTTCTAAATCATTCCTATTTTGTTAATTTGTCAATTAAATAATATTGTTTAGTTTCATAACAATCACACATACACAACGTTTACCAAATTATTGTAATTAATTTTAATCATTTAGAAGAAAATTTTGCAAGACACGAATGTCCATTAGTCACGCAAAGCTCCGTCATGTTTTATTTATGTAGAACATCTTGCCTTTATTCAATTTATGTTGATTTTTTTATTAAAGTTGTCACTAACATTGCATGTTTACTCCAGGTTGTTTGTTAACAATCTGATCGTTTGATGTTGACAGATTATTATCACTTGTTTAAGACGTCAAACTTTAAAATGAAATCAGGTGTCAAAATTTTATTTCATTTTGTAACTGGATTAGAAAAGCGTTATGCGTTTTCACTTTCATAAAAAAAATCAATTTTTATAACAAAGCTTATTGGAATCTAATCTTTATTGTATGTTCGGTTGTTTCACGTTTTGATATTTTAAAAGGACAATGATGAGATTTCTAAGGGAGCACGTTTGATAGCACGACGGTATCATGTAATAATATGCGAAATAAATATTTCGCGTGTTTGTTAAATGTTTCAAGGCAAAGGCAGCATAGCTTCTTGTTACCACACTGAGAATGCTCATAGGTAAGTTCTGACGCATAGTTTCATATCATATCTATTTACTGACAAATGATGAGGCATATTCTGATATGGACGTATTCATTTTTAGAAAGAAAATTACTACATATCACTTTTTAATTCGCATTTAGAAGTGAAATATTGACTCGTTATCAATTTTTGCAATAATCTGGAAACTTATTAAGTGGATGCTCTGTATAAAGTACAGAACGTCATTACAGATAAAGACAATGACATCAAAACGGAATCTTTTACGTCAAATATATTGCTGTGATGTTGAAAGGACGTCATGATGGTTAGTTAAAAAATTTCATAAAAGGAATTAAACAATTTCTTCATGAGTGTAAGACATCTGGAAAATTATTACACCGAACTTTTTCCGCCTTCTTCTACTTGTACTTACTTAACCCAAAACTTATTTTACCTTTCGGTGTATGACGTCTTCTAATGCACAACAAATATCGCATGCATCTTGGGGGAAATATTTTCCATTAATTATTAATTAATTAAATAGTACCTAACATTTCAACAAATTAAAAACGTTTGTCAAATATTTAGTTTCATGTTTTGTTGGCGTTTCATAACCTTATTAATTTTGTTCAATATGCTGACTTGAAATGTAAAGTTTAATGTGACGTATACGGGATATTCTAACAAAAATTACTGGTAAATTCGCACTTTTGAACTTACTTCAGAAACCACCTAAGAGCATTTGAAATTTTTTATTTAAAAAAAATTATAAAATAACTGAAATTTATTTATTCATTCTTACTTTATATGAGACTTGAATGAACCTTCCTCTTCAAAAATGACTCAATCTTAATTGAAACATGCGCCATCAGAGGTAGTACAGTAATAATTTTTTTATTGTTCGCATATTTGAAAAAAATGACGCAAGAGTGGTTGTAAGTATAAAAAATTATAAAAGTATGTAAAAGTAATTTTTTTAATTATATTTATTCGAATTGATAACAGTTCAACACTGGTGACAAGTTGTAAGTGCAGTTTATATTTAGTTAATTTTTTGATTGCATGTCATATTTTGTCTATATTCGCCTCCGAAATATTTTATTCTAGTGTGTCATTTATTACTCCGCCGTTAAATGACGAAAATTGACTTAATTTGTAGGAACTAATTTCAGTGTCTAAAATCCAGAAAAAATGCATTTGTATTTCTTGATGTTGAAATTTTGTCGGCGTAGATGGTGAGACTGTAACGAGATCTCCATTCAAAAATTTAGTGTGAGGTAAAAATATTTTTCACGTAGGAATCTTGCCTTGATGTCATGTGAGCTACTTCAAGCAGTGGACATTAGCAACCAGAATGCAAACGATTTTAAAAGATGGGTAGAATATCAGCGAATTCCTGCTTTGTGTAACCTAATTGGAATGTGATAGTGGTTATGGATAGTCTTTCGTATCATTGGAATTAGATGGGGCATTAAAAGGTATCCACTGTTTCATCCAACTAACACATTCATTCATTTTAACAATACGCTGAAGTTTCATTTATATCGAACCCAAGCGATCATTTCTGAGGAAACCTGAAGATTTTAAATGGTAAACATATTTCACGACAGGTAACATAACATTCAGTAATGTAAATAACCCCCAAAAACATTTAAACAAATTCATCTAGTGACTAATCAAAAAGATTCCATACGAATAATTGCTGTTTTTATTTCTTGGACGTAATCTTTTTGAATTTCACATTTTCTCGACGTATTCACTCTTGGAGATTTTGTTGCCTAAATAATCCCCTAAGTTACTCGACTGATTATTGTGAAATTTTAGGTGTAGATTAAAATAGTCATGTAACTGGTAAAATGTTAACTAAAATTTGCGTTCATCCCATGGCTTGACTTGATGGCGTCATTTCAAAAAATCATTACGTAAATACTTAATAAAATATGTTGTTTGCGTTTGGTAATATGTATGTTTTTTTTATGAAATTACTTACAAATTTTAGGAATTCGGTGCAGTTATTATTACTGTCGGTGCCAAAATTTGTATACCATATGATCGAAAAAAAGTCCTCTAGTCAGCTATAGAGACATTTTTTTAGATTATGTGGTACGTATCCTCACAAAAAATGATGACATCACTTTTTTTTTTTTGTTAATAAAAAATCACGTAGAATATCCCGCCCTGCTTGTGATTTAATAATCCACCTCTCTTTTACTCTGTTTCCAACCACTTGCGATATCATAATGGAGAATTAGAACTTAAGAAATTATGTTTAACCAAGCAGAGTTTAATTTGAAAATTGTGAATTCCTTTGGCACCAATCGAAAGTTTCCCTTTCTTAACCTAACGGTTTGGAACTTGTATCTCAAATTGCGTATATTACGACAAAATTAATTGCTACTAGTTACTTTCTCATTAACTTCTCATCTGTATTTACGAAAATTAAACAAAAGTTGCTTCAAAGACTGAACGTAGTTTATCACGGTTACAAAATACAAGGCACGGCACATTGTCAGTTGATCATTACAGAACAGTGAGCATGCTCAAGACATTCGTTTCTGATTAGTCCACTTAGTGCTTATACGTGGAAAGCTTGGTGCTTGTAAAAATTTATTAAGTGCAACTAGGTATACAATTTGTTAAGCATAATTTTTTAAGTGTAATTCAATTCTGAACACTTGTCCAGTTGTTAAACTTTGTAGTATGTGTAAGTACTTAGAAACGATGCAACTTCACAACATCTTTTCAAAATACATAGGAAGTTTGCATAATCAAAATGTACGAATTATCGAAGAAACTGTGTAATCGATTTCTTTAAAATGTTTATAAAATATTAGATTAACATTGATCTAGTAACTACAGAATAATACTAAAATTATGAAAGAAATACACTCTTGCATGCAAGGTGTATTGGTCAGAGGGGAGTATTATCTAAACTCTAGACCATTTTTTGCAGTGTAATAAAATGTACAAATGGTTATTTTTGTCAACAGGGCAGCCCTCCATTACGGCGTCCGAGGTATCGAGACAGAAACGATTTCATCCACCCACATCACCAACCGTTTCTGTCAAGCTCGCCACCTCTTGCTCACGCCCACCCCCACCAGTCCTCCGTGATGATGGACATTAACCAGGTTAATCACCATAGTCTCGTAATCACTAAAGAGTCGTTTCTTGGATATCTTTTTTTAGGTGCCGGTCACTATTCCGATGAACCACGAGGCCATGTGGAGCTACCCGTCTCCTGCGCACATATCCCTGTGCACGGCCCCTCCAGGCGCTCCCCCGCATATGCACAGTTGTCACATGCACAACATGTACCAAGCGCCCCACCAACTCGTGCCCCAGCAGTTCCCCGGTTGTCTTCCGCATCAGGGCTACGGCGGATTCCCGACTCCCCCCAGTGCCCTCTCCGTCTCCAACCCACATTATGGCCAACACCTTCCGCCCCAGAGAGCCGACAGCCTCGAGCTGGAGCTTCTCAACGACCACCATTCCCACACCCACTCGGCGCTCCACGGTGCGCCTTCCCTCCATGTCTCTCCCATTCAGGTGACGCCTCCGGCGTCGCTCTTCCTTTCGGCGGAGACGAGAGGGAACCAGCTGGAGTTGCTCCACGCGAGGTCCAGGCAGCACAGAAATCCGCGGTTACAACCGCCGAGGACGCGCTGGCACCACAACGCGCCGATCATTTCGGCGCCGGCGCAGTATTCAGGCTTCCTACTGCATTTCCTGTAAGTTGCAATAATTACACTGGTCAACAAAATTTAATTTTTTCTCTCTAACTTTGACATAATTGTAATGTTTTCGTTTAATTTGTCTCTGTGTTTGTAACAAAGAGCATAAATCTTATAACTTAGCTCAATTAAAAAAAATATGCATATTTGATGTTTGAAACAGAAAATCAGGTAAAACAATTTAATTTTTGTATCTTTAACGGCAAAAAGTGTAGTATTAACAAAAGAACAACCTTAAATGAGAAAAAAACAACGAATGTAGTTTAAAAAACGAAAAAAACAAAAGAAACAGCGAAGACCGACGTTTTTTCGGTTGCCTCCTATAGATTTTATTGGAGATCTCTCGCTTGATGGTCCCGCAGTATTCTGCGAGCATTTAGGTGTCATTTAGGTATTCCATCGATCTTGGTAACGTTTTTCTATCGACAAAATGCCCAGATGGATGCGTTCTCTATGATGGTAACTCACGTCGTCACAATTTTTGGGGAAAAAATCAAGGTGCGAGTGTATAAAATGCACTTTTAAGAATATGTTAATTTAAAATTTTTTATATGATGATAACATGTCTTCTACTTACTAAACGTAGTTTTCTTATTGTTTCCCAAGAAGTTTGTAGTAATTTGATTACAAAAAAATACACCTTATAGTAAGTTTCCTATTACTTAATAGTACGATTTTTGTATTTTTCAAAGGATAATATTTTAAGATTACTTTTAAATGAGAGCTAAGTTTTGGTTTAGCCCTTTATAATATCATTTAAAATTGCTAATTAAATAATAATTGACTGCTATGATAAAAGTTAGAGTTTAGCTGTTGACCAGTGTATTAATAAGGGAAGCAAAATTTCAAGATACCTAAATGAATTGATCAATACGAAAGTCAGGTTATATCATTTGCCATAAAAGAAACATACTTTGATTTTTGTAGTGCGTTTTATGAAAGGAATCATAGGTACTTTGCTAGAATCAGTAGTGTTATAACTTATTACCAGACTTCATTGCCGTCCGATCGCCAGCGCTATTGCAGTCGACTTCGGGAATTCTTAATAGTAATTACTACTTTTTCTAGGTTTTTCTTAGTTACACGAGTTCTCCTAGATGTTAAAATGCTTTAAAAATTAAAAATTACTGTTCAACATCACAATTTTCGTGATGTTCTTGATCAGATAAACCCTGAGTTGCATCAAACGCCGCTGAGATTGAGATTCCGCAGTGCTCCAGCCAAATTTATCGCCTGACGTCGCGCCGTTATATTTAACATTTGGCTGATTGATTCCCCATCACTTCGGCTGTGCCTAATTCTGCTTATTACCATTAAAAACCTGAGACAAAACTTGAAGTAGATTCTAAAATATGATGCAATAAATAGCAGAAAATTGAAAATTTCGACACAATTTCGTCTATTAATTGGTAATCACTACCTCTTTTATATCTTCATATTTAATTCATCAATCAAATTGTGTCCCCCCATTTCAAAATATCACGAGCGGCCACTGGTATCAAGATTCAGCTTTCTACAAAATGAGCAAATTCGTCTAGAAGGCTAAAAAAGTTTCGGCGAATTCGTTCGTCATATTGTAATAACCCAAACATTCCGCCAAAATTAAGACATGCGCACAAAATTTGAAAACCCGCGAAAAATTCGAAAAGTGGTCACGAGCTGTGATCGCCAACAAGATGGGACCCTGCGTTGCGTTTTGAAATGGCGGAATGTGTTCTGATGCAAAGCGGTGCAATGCGGAGCGAGAAGAGTGTAGGAAGTCAAAGTCAACACTGCATTTTGGTAAAAGTGATTAGAACTGAGAAGAAATCTTTAGTTTTACATGTAACAAAACAAATGGCCGAAAAGTTGGTTCCTCTTTTGAGAAAGGACAAAAGCTGTGAAATAAATTTGACGAGCATATTTTCCCAGCTGCAGAACCCCTCCATCTTTTATGAAAAATCAATTATAAATTCAGTTATAAAATTATTAAAATGCTATCAGTGACATACAAAGAAAACAAGCAAGTTCGAGAAAGCCCTAGCTAAAGTTCTTTTCTATTTTTTTAAGGGCTGCATTTTTCCGCTACAAAAATATCGTTCTTTTCAAGTGCAAAATTACAAATTGCGATCACATATACATAGCTTGTTCTTAAAAGTACACATTGCTCTAGTTTGCAACTTTTATTTAGGGGGAATGGAAGGCAGTGCCCAAATCATTATGAACAAGAGTACATCGTGGATCGAATTCCCCAACACATAAATACATAAAACACATATTAAATATGGTCAAAAACACAAAATATTATTCGTCCGAGAATAAATGTTCCAAAATTGGAGTCATTCAAAATAAAAAATGTAACACAAAATCAGCATAAAACCCTTTTCTCCTTTTGAATCCACGACGACATTTATTTCGCTGATTATTTCCAAAGCGACTCAATATTTAAAATTTAAATCTTGAATACTGTCCATTACTATGTTAGAATTCCAAATGTGAATCTATTTAAATTTGAATAATAATTTAAGAAGAACCATCTCCCTGAGACATTTCACAATTTAGAATACATATTATAAAATATCGCATCGAAACATTTCTGATATAATATTGATGTCTTTTTCTTTATACAAGAAAATAAATTGTTTAATTTCTAGAGATTTGGTGAAACAAGTCCAACAGCTTCCCAGTCAACGCTAGTCTAAACAATAAATGACGCAATATGTCGAATTTCTGAACGTCGCGTCTTTCCGCTGCCGCAATACGTGAGATCAACGAATTATCAATTAAAAATCATGTTAAACTTTACTTACACATGGAAGTAACGATGGTGTCCCTTTAATCTACTGCTAATTTGCCCTTCAGTTTAATTTTACAAATAAAATGAATGAAATGTACAAATCACAAACACATGTGACTTCAACACTGCGGACTTGTAGTGTGAAGATACTACCACTACTTGAATCAATCTGCCTCTACAGTGGGCGCGAAAGCTCCCCACCGCTCTGCGAAAAATGAAAATTTAGAAATATGAAAGTTCAAGAAAAAATTGACTTACAATGAAATTTTAAAAAACAATAATAAAAATCACCTTTTAACACTAATGGATGCGGAATGATTAGAGATTTTCCTAATTCACGTACCGATTCTTGAGTTGTGTCATTATAATGCTATTTTTATTTATTACAATTTCGTTATATGTCAATTTTGTCTTGAATATTCATATTTTTAAATTTTCATTTTCCTGCATTTTATTTTAAAATTTTAAAATCTGCTTAAAATTCTGCCATAGTTTTTCAGAGATAGTATCCATGAACAATACTGACTCTCACAATGCACTTCCAATTGCATTCATTTGTTAAAAAAAAAGAAAACACGAAACGTGTTCCAAAATTTTCAGTAAGATTTTTTTATTACTGAGAATTGAAATTGATCTGCGACAAAGTAGTAGTTAATTTGTTGCCACTGATCGACTTTAAAATCTTCACCTTGCACGGTCAAAAATTTAAAGACACTAGTACAATAAGTCTACATTAATTAGACTCAGTAGTGTTTGGTTATATTACTGTTGAAAAACTAAAAAAAATTTTGAATAGTTTTTGAAATATGACGTGATAAAGAACCAAAAAACGCAATTTTAAAAGTATGAAAATTTAAGAAATGATTCGATTTACTATGAAATTTTAATATATAAAAATCGAATTTGAACACTGCTGGGTCAAAGCGGAACGGTGGACAGGACGATGCTTTTTATAACTTCTTTTTAATAATCTATCAATCGTGGTCATATATGGCACCGCATCAGAAATAAATAATAGTATATACTGCTCCATTGTCAACTTTACAATACCCTAATTTTACAACACCCATATAACCTTATAGTGTTTGAGAGACTATATTTTACTATTTTTTTCTTTCACATTATTCCAAAAATTGAATTTAAACTTTCATCAGTTATTATAAACATAAGTTCAGCATTTATTTTCTCCGAAACATAACAATGCTTCTGCTGCATGTAATGTACAAATTACAACACTCACCACACAAAATACTAATACATAAGGAATGTTCATTTTATAAAGCGGACACTGAAAAATTGCTACTAATTCGAGTACTTTGGGCTGATTTAATTTTTTTTGTTATAAAAATGTTTAAAAATGTTAAATGAAATAATTATTCCTATTCTCTAATCAATTATATTCAGAAATTATAAAATTTTCTAACTATTGCGCGAATACCGCGAATCACTGTTTGCACAGGTTTGTTTGTGATTTTCTTCATAGCAGGAGGCCACATTTTTTTAAATTCTCCAACTCATGATGTTGTTCGGCCATCTTTTCTTCACACTGATTTCATATTTGCTCATTATCGCTCAAGTGGACGAAGCTCAGGACAGTTGGGTGGTTTATCTTCCTTTTTTAAAAACTGTACATTATTGGCATTAAGAAGCTCCTGAGTGGCACCAGCGTAGTGAACCGAAGCCAAATCTGGCCAAAACAATGGAGGGTTTGCAATAAACAGACGATAATCGCGTTTTTATACATTCTTTCCTGTAATCATCGCCCCGAATTGTTCCAATCGTAAAAAAAACTAAAACTTTTTAGCACACAAGAACAAATCGGTTGCCACACTAAGACTTTTTTCCCAAACTTTTCAATTTTTTTTGTTTTCATGTCATCGAGGACATCTTCCCCTACGACTGCATTATAAAACTGGGAGCCGGGTAGTGTATTGCAGTCCATTTTAACCTTCGTTTCGTTGTCCATCAAAACAACGATTTTTGTTCCTGACCAAAATTGTTTAAAACTTCCTGCTTTTTTTTTTGAAACTTTGTGCACTGCTTTTCGCTTCTTTTTGGGATTTTTTGCTTTAATACGTTCTAATGTTATTCCGAGTCTTTATATTTTGTACAGTACCTACGGTAACACCTTGCTTCTTCGGTATTTCCCGCACAGACATACATTTCGTTAATTTTAGCAGTTTAATGATGTTTTCCTCAATATTTTCGTTAAGCGGGCCTTTTCTCGGTCTGGATTTGAGCAAATCTTCTAAAGTATTAAACTCCCCAAACTTTTTGATTATTTGGAACACTGCTGATTTTGAACATTTAGTTATTTTAGGCAGTCCCCCCAACGGAAATTTTTCGTAGCATCACTTTTGCAAAGATAATTTTCTTGCCCCAATGGCGATTCGCTTCATTTTAAAAAGAAATAACGTTATTTTGAAAACAAAAATGGCATTTAATAGATACAACTTAAAGCTTTCATATATAAAAACTGGAATAATTTAGATTAAAAATTAGAAAAGTGGCGTTACTTTAAAGGTGTCCGTTTAATAAAATGAACACTCCTTATATTGTTCCGTTCGCATGGCATTTAGGCATATCTTGGTAATTTTGATTCGTTTGGAATTGTATATTTCTTTAAGAATGTTTAAGAATGGGTTTCTGCAGTTTGTTTAACATTTTGTTGCCTGATTCATGGGATTTACGTCGTATCTTATACGGTTTCCTAGATCACGATAGTGAAGTTGAAAAAAATAAAAATACCATGTAAATATATCCTATTTTCGATTGGAAGTATTTACTGATTATTACATGTATATTGTATTAATCATACACATACCGACACACTATATACATAGACATAACATAGATAAAATAGTTAATTGGTTACTTGTGTATACTCTATTGAATTCGATTTATTGTAAAAACAGTGTACCACCAAATGTTTAACAGATAAGCAAATCTAAATAAGAACATTCTTATGTGACATACACAAATGTTGAAAATGTTTGTTTCTTAGTTTCAATGAAATTATTACAACAGTGTGGATGAAACTTAACTCAGTCTTATAAATGTCACATAATCCGTGACACCTCACATTTAGCGATATGACGTTTAATAAAATACAAAATGCCTTCGTCACCATGCAAAAAAATAAAAATGCTCAGAAGTTGTGTAACTTGTGATTATGTGGAGTAAAAAGACAATTTTACAAACAAAATGAAAGAGTTTATCATATTAATGGCTATGAAATTGTCTCAGTCAAAACAATGCGAAACAATAATCCACTCCTTGATGAACTCGTTCAAATTTCGTAACACATAAGAGTGAAATATTATTAACAAAGTGGCCACAAATCATTACACTCGTGGGTAATTGTGGTGTTAGATTTGCGAAAGAATTGCCTTTTACTGAAATTGAATCAACAAAATTTAACGTTAAAATACATGTTTTTTGATAATAATAATAATAATCCCGTACTATCATCCCGTATACCATTCCCTCTGCTAGTTAAAAGTTGTGCGCCATTTTAAATTTCAAAATCAGTGGTTACTGTATTGGTTGACTACGTTATCGAACGAACATTAACAGAAAATGACCCACAAAGTGTTAATAAATACAGTTTTCGTGTTATTTTGTTAAATGAATTATTGTATTTTGAAGTTGACTTGTTCGTAAAGTTTGAAAATGAAATTTAAACTTTAGCGCTCATCAACATAACGTCAAAAACAGTTTTTTGTTTTCCATTACTCTTTTAATTAAACTTTAATTTGAGTAACGCATTAAGAATGTTGAATATGCTTGTATAGCACTTTTCAAAATCGGAAAGTGAGTTATGTTTCCTTACATTTGTTTAATTCACAGAAAAATATCCTGATAAGTAAACGCTAGTGGATGTAGCTTTTGTAAACTGAAATTATATATGCATTCAGTTTTACATAATATTAACTGATATAAATTTTCAATTGAAAAAAATTCTCATCACTATTTGTTATGTTATGTATATTGTATATTGTAATTCGGTAACGAAGGCCAGTAATTTACATTTTTCCTAAAATTGGTAAGGTTTAATTAAAAGTTCAGAAAATATTAATTAAAAATACCTGCAGTGAGATTTTGTTTGATCGCTATGGACTAGTAATTGTGGTAATTACGGATTTGATATGTAAATTTGTGATATAATCTGACTAACAAGTCTCAAGTTTTTTATATGAATGTTTTAATTTGAGATTATCACGGAAGACAAATAAAAATAATTAATATGATTAGTCTACATTCCAGTTACGTGCATGTCTCTCATCTTTCCAATTTCATTTTTTAGCGCCATGTTTTCGAACCCGCCTATGTCTCCCTTCAGCCAGACTGATCTCAGTAGTTCGGATACAACGGAAACGGAGAACTACGAAGCTCTTCTAAATTTGGCTGAACAGTTGGGTGAAGCAAAACCCCGTGGTTTAGGAAAACTCGAAATCGAGTCACTTCTGAGCTACAAATTCAATGCAGACACTCATCAAGGGGATCAAACATCGTGCGTTGTATGCATGTGCGATTTTGAAGCCCGACAAGTGCTCAGAGTCCTGCCCTGCTCACACGAATTCCATGCCAAATGTATTGATAAGTGGCTCAGAGTAAGTATATTTGGTGCGCATGTGTAGACGAAAATTATTTTAATTACAATATTGCTTTATTTTGAAATTTCTTTTTCAGTCAAACAGAACCTGCCCGATATGCCGCGGGAATGCTTCAGACTACTTCAATACTAGTGATTAGATCTTCAAAAGTTCCAACCGCAACAATAACCTAATTTAAAACTTTTGCAGAATTTGAAGTTTTGTTCCGTCAGGTGCCATTAGTTTGCCAGTAATAGATTTATAATATCACTAATAAAAAAAAAATATATATGTGTTAACACTTCCTATTTTACTTATCTAGTAGATATCGTAAAGCTTGAACTTGTTAGCATTTGTCGGTAAGATTTAGGTGAGCCACATTTTGTTTTCTAGTGTCTGTATTCATGTGTCAATGTCGTACACCTAATTCTTCATTGTAACTACCTCTAATAAGACAGAGACGTCAAATTTTGCAATCAAACGAAATTTTGTTTTGCGTTGATCGACGATCCTCTGTACGTTATTATTAATTATTTTTAATTGTTTTTTACTTGTGCGAATGTACCGTGTACATGATCTTCCATATGTTGTCTGTTATGTAGGTTTTTTTTTGTTATGGTTACGTAAGTGCTTATCGTTAAACCTACTTTTCATTAAGTTAGCTCCGCTTGCATGCACCATGCAAAACGAGAATTAGAATTAGTTGATGGGCTTTTTTCATTTTTGCTTACCTAAAAAGAATATTACGAAACTACGATGTCCTTGCACACATGCTTTAACTACACTACGCTATACGTAAAAGGATTTATTTCTAACAAATTTTATAGGGAAGTTTGTACTTAATTATTTAAATTTGTACCAACACGTACTTTCTTGATAATATTGCAGTACAATTCGATGCTTTTAATGTCACTTTCGAACATTGTTAGATAAATTAAATTTTATCGAGTGGTAATTATTGTACAGAGAATAATTTAATGTAATAGGTGTGCCTTTATATTGTACAATTCAACATCTGCCATTCCGTTTGATTTGCACTACATTTAAAAAAAAGATGTAAATTTAACTGGTACGCAGGACTGCCTCAAAAGTCAAATGGATTTATATATTATATATATTAGAGCTGAAGAGTTGTTCTGTTGATTTTTCTTTTGTAGCTTTAAAGCTTAAGTTATAATTTTTTTTGGGATTTGTCTGTAGTAGCACTATAGTTTAGTTAATAATGAAACCTTCTTTTGTGGCAGTTGGTATATTTACAACAACATTTAAAAAATGGCCTTTATTTGTTATAAGCACCCTCGTTTGTTGTGGTTATTAAATGGATTAGTGTCACAGAGTGTTTGAATTGCTATCGATTTTTTGGATTATTATAAATGTCGCCGATATTAATGGAAGTTGTGAAGGTTGTGATGTTAGCTCGCTTTTTTTCTGTATAAGTCGATACGTTAAAATGGCTATTTGTTGTCTTGTTTTTTGCTCAATTTGTATTTATGTGTTAGGGAATGGAATTGTTTGAAAAGAAGCCATTTTATTAGTGGAGAAGAAAATTGTTTTGGTTGGTAAAAATTCTTAAATTTGTATTTTTGTTCGGATGTGTGTTTTGTCGCAATTAAGTGAAATACTCAGTAGAGGGTGCCGTTGTTGTTCAGTATACACATATCTCAGACACAAGTGCAATATGAAAGTCATTTTAGCATTTTTTCAAACATAAACTAGCAATATTTAATATTCTAAGGCATTCACATTTAGCAATTGCCGCATAATCAAACTATAGATTGTATTTTTGTGAACGTGAATACCTAAGTGATACTTTTGCTTTTAGTGGATTTTAATATTTATGTATTCATAGGAGCTTATAGTGGCTACTATACTAGTTCTTATTTCAATAAAACATTTAAAAGTGTGTAAGTTTACTTTATTATGTATAATATAAGAATAATGATAAGCACAATTAGCAGAAGTTTTAAGCCAAGAAAATTAACGAGGGCATAAGAGTTGACGTCCTCCGTCCACAGGAAGAATCGCCCCCGTTATAAAAGTAGCATCATCGCTAGCTAAAAATGCAATAGTTTTAGCAACTTCTTCAGGTTGTCCAGGTCTTCCAAGTGCGTGCGTTGTCTGACACCTATTGAGAAATTCTTTGTACTGTTCTTCAGACATTCCTCCCCGCTTATGTAAGTTAGTTACAACAACTCCAGGATTAACACTATTAACTCTCACTTGTTTGGGAGCTAAATCAAGAGCCACACATTTTGTAAACTGATCAAGAGCCGATTTTGACATACAATAAGATAGAAGCCCTGCTGACGCTCTTATTCCAGTAACACTAGAAACATTAACAATACTGCCTTTAGTTTTTATCAAGTAAGGTACAGCCAGCATCGTAATAAAGTAAACGGCCCTCACGTTTGTGTTAAATAGTCGGTCATATTGTTCCAAGCTCGTGGTTTCAATGCCCCCACTTTCAATTACTCCAGCGTTATTAACCAGAACGTCCAATTTGTCGTAATGTTGAATAGTTGTTTCTATAATTTTACGAAGATCATCTTCTTTGGTGACGTCTGCTGTGATTAGTAGAGGTTTTGATGCACATTGTTCTGCTGTTTTTGTTAAATTTTCCAAGTTGCGACCTGTTAGTGCTAATTTCGCGCCTAGTTTTGAAAAATGAACCGCTGTTGCCGCCCCGATGCCGGAACTAGCCCCGGTCACCAGAACTACTTTTTCGGAAAAACTCATCCTCTCGCCCCGCGGGTTGACCTTGAGTCTTCCAAAATTAAATTTCTTGGCGATAGTGTCTAAGCACAAAAATATGTCTTGGAGATGATTTGTTTTAATTAGAATAGGTTAAGTTAACAAAGGGTTAAAAATATTTGCGAAAAATATTCTCACCCCGCTCACTATACAGTACACAAGAACAATTCTTTGTAAAACTGATAACAGTGATAATAATATGTAGTATATTACATTGGTTGATAAAAGGATAAAAGAAATATGGGAGTGCGATTCGTCTGAATGTGTTTTATTGGTGGGCAATGTTGGTAGCAGTGTTTTTTTTTCCACTGACGTGACATCAAAAGCTAACCTTACCTAAAGATTGACTAGTGGTTTATAAAGTCGCATTTAAATTACAAAAAACGAAATGTCTTTAATTGGAATAAGGAGTTTTTTAAAATGCGGCCAAGCGTTTAGTGAAAATTTAATCTTCAATACCAGGTACAACTTTTAGAAAATTGTTAACAAATTTTGTGACAATGATGCAACATGTTTTTAAAGGTATATCGCTACTACAAGTTTACGAAGAAATAATGCCCCTGAAGGAAAAACAACACAACAGTCTGAAAACAGCGAGTCAAGTCCTCCACCACCTACAGGGGAACAACCACAAGTTTCTGAAGATATCGAAAAATTCACCAAAGAAATTGCACAACTTACAGAAAAAAATAACGAACTATTAGTAAGTATTAAAGTTTCACATTCAACTGGTTTTGATTAAGTTTACCATTTAGGATAAATATAAACGAGCATTAGCTGATGGAGAAAATTTAAGGAACCGGTTAACAAAACAAATTTCTGAAGCTAAATTGTTTGGTATACAAGGATTTTGTAAGGATTTGCTAGATGTGGCAGATGTTTTAGGCAAAGCTACTGAAACTGTACCTAAAGAAGAAATTAGTGAAAAAAATCCACACTTGAAGAGTTTGTATGAAGGGCTTGTTATGACAGAGGCTCAACTACAGTCTGTTTTTAAAAGACATGGATTAGAAATTGTGAATCCTTTAGACGAAAAGTTTAACCCTAACTACCATGAAGCTTTATTCCAACAGGTGACACGTTTTTTTTGTGTTTGATTGTTGTACTAAATTATAGTTTTTCAGGAAGTTGCAGGTAAAGAGTCAGGAACTGTGGTAGTGGTTTCGAAAATAGGATATAAATTACATGATAGAGTGATACGGCCTGCTTTAGTTGGTGTTTCAAAGTAGGCAGCTCAGTTGAGTCTCATTTCTACCGTGGAGTTTATAATTTAAAACCAAATTTTTGTTACGTTTTCTCCCTGTTTGTGATTTTTATTACTTCACAGAAACAAATGTATATTATTGATAGGGTCAAATAAAGTTGAATTTAATAGAGTTTTATTAATATTTCGGGTAGGCATAAGTGGAGGTAGTTTTACAAGTTAAATTAGTGTCTCCCATTCGTTGTGCGTATGCGCACATCTATAAACAAGTAGTTCTTTTGAATTTTTGAAACTGAAGTGTTTTATAATAGTTTGTTTTTTAAAAAGTATTCATAATATGATCTATTCTTTTGATTCTCTACTTTTACTTGAAAATTAATAACATGGGCGACAACAACAACAAAAAAAGAGTCACTGTAAAACACAAACATCCTAACCCTCTTTTTGAGCAATGGTTAATAGAATGGAGGGATAAAGCTAAAGAGAAAGATTCCAAAATGCAGTACTGTTTTTCAATGGCTTTAAGTACGTTGAGGAAGTATCCTTTACCCTTAGAGTCTGGAAAAGACTGTAAAATTCTCAAAGGTTTTGGTGAGAAACTGTGCAAAATGTTAGACGATAAACTCAAACAACATAAGGGTGAAAATAACGTCGCTACTTCACATAGAGTTCCTTCAGTAAATAAAGTGCAATCCAATGTAAAACAAAAACCGAAACCAATCAGTCCAGAAAAAAAGACTCATAAAGAATATATCCCTCAACATGGATCAGGAGCTTTTGCAATATTAGTAACATTATATGAAAAAAGTACAGAACCTGGATACCCTGGATACTTATCAAAAAAGGAAATTATTGAAAGTGGCCAACATTTATGTAATGTCTCATTCACAAAACCTGGACCAGACTCAAGATATACTGGATGGTCATCTATGAAAACTTTATTAGAAAAAAATTTAGTAACAAAACAAGGAAATCCATCTAGGTTTACTCTTACAAATGATGGTTCAACCTTGGCTGACAAGTTATACATTCAGCTAAAAGTAGAAGAATTTCATAAACTGGAAGAAAAAGAAGAAGTAAAAATTACTCCAGTGAGTTTAGGGTGTAGTGATGAACCATCAACTTCTGGATTAGGTAGTGATGTAATTACACTTCCATCATGTTCTGGAGTTTCCACCAAACAAAGAAAACATACAGACTTACCAAAAAAGAAAAGTGATCCAATTTGGCGACAAACATCAACTAATAGTACGTCAAGTCAGAGTAGTATAGCTCATGAAACTGTGATATTAGCACCTAATAGTTTTGAAATTATTCTACTAGTAGACAATCAAGAGTTGAATGGGTAATTATAATAGTGCTTAATTGCAAGTTGTGTTGTAAATATTCTTATAGGAGTAAAATGGATTTAGAAAATGATCCGATAATTAGGAGCCTGAAAAACTTAAACATACTACATGAAGTTAGAGATCTCAAAGTAGGGGATTACACGTGGATTTGCCGTGATAACTGTGGTAATGAAGTGATTTTACCTTACATTGTTGAAAGGAAGAGAATGGATGATTTTGGCAGTAGTATTAAAGATGATCGATTTCATGAACAAAAATTCAGACTGAAACAATGTGGAGTTCAGAATTTGATTTACTTGATAGAAAGTTATGGAAAAAATGAACATGTGGGTCTTCCCATTAACACTTTGTATCAAGCGGCAATTAACACTTTGGTTCATGATGGTTTCAGTGTAAAGTTTACAGAAAATGGAAAGGCGTCATGTGAATATTTAGCTTGTATAACAAACTTCTTGGTAAATATTTTTAAGGTATTTGCGCTGAATTTGCGTGATGGTTTTTAAAATCAGTAATGTGACTTCATTGTAGAAAAAAACATTGGTAAGCTGTCCAAAAGAAGATTTGCCACTGTTAAATCTTGAGGATGATTTAATCCACTTGATGTTGTTCAAAGAATTTAATAAAAGTTCAACAAAATCAAGAGTATGTGTGTGGTTTATTAATATTTGTTTTAATGGTTTGTTTTTGTAGCACTTTAAAGTAAAGGAAATGTTTGTAAGACATCTTTTACAAATCAAGGGAATGTCTGTTGATAAAGCGCTTGCCATAGTGGAAAAATATCCAACACCCCTGCTTCTAAAATTAAAGTATGATGAAGTTGGAATAATTCAAGGAGAAAAGTTACTTTACAGTATCCAGTATGGAACTTTAAAAAAGAACGTTGGTCCAGTTTTGAGCAAAACAGTGTTTCAATTTTTTACCAGTGATTGTTATTAAATCTTGAAAATAAATCAGTTGAATTCGCATTTCGCGCGTTTTATAAAAGCTAGTGTGATCGTGGTGTGATCTCTGTTGGGTTGGTAACACATGTCAGATCGATAATCTAACCTACAAAATAATTTTACAATTATTGCGTTTCGTATGTTGATAAACAATATTATATTTCCATCAAAAAATGGACGCACGAGTTAATGATTTCCTTAATGAAATTAACGAAATTGCACCTCTTGGTGAAAACAAAGCAGAAAGCGGTAAGTATTAGTTTTAGAAATATCCTTAGATGAACATTTTGTGCTGTAGTTTGGGAAAAATGTTACGATGAAGAGAGCGGTTACTATTATTATTGGAACACGAAAACGAACGAAGTAACGTGGGATATGCCTTCTGAGTATCGAGCGCACCATAAAACTAAGACAAAAAAGTCATATAACTTGTACATACCTCCTAGAACAGCACCTCTTTTTCCTAGTACAAGTAATCTTCCACCTGTCTCAGATGCTATCAAAATATATAAAATTGGTGAATGCACAGATACTGTGGCTAACTCTAGTGTAAAAGTAAATAAAACCACAAAAAGTGAAGTTGTGTCTAGTCCTAAAGAAGAAAAAAGGACTGTTATAAGTAGACCAGTTCCAAAAAAAGGTGATCTCGAGGATGAGTAGGTTTCTATTGTCATGTAAATGCTGTTGTTTTTAAAGTTTATTTTTAGAAAAGTTGTTTTGATATCTTCATATGGTGGGGATAGTGAATCAGAGGATGAAGCAGCTTTAAAAGAGGGTAAACAGGTAGGTGAAAATAACAATGTGGAATTTTTAAAAATTGTTGACATTTTGAAATAGTTAAATTTATATTTTATAATAATGTTTGGTGTAAACCTCACCTTGTGTACCATGTGTCATTTTGGTACCTATAAAATTGTGTGCACTTTTAAAAATATTGTCTAATTTAAAAGTTGCAGCCGATACTTTTGATGCCTCTACGTGTACATGATAAATTTGTAAAAATAATTTGTTTCTTTCATACATATAAAATGATGACAATCATAACAGATACAGCGACACCGCTGTAAATGATCAAAAAGTTTTCAATCTGATTAAAAAGCAAAAATTGGCCAATGATGATGTACTGCTAGAGCTCTCCTTTTTGTTGAGAATTCGCAGTTGCTGAGGCTCCACAAACAAAATGTCCATCTCTAACAATAAAAATTTGAAGGTCAATGGTTCAAAAACGACGCAGCCACTAGAATGTAATTCCGACGATGAAGACGACGCCGATATCCTCTCCAAAATCCAAAAAAAAGCAACAGAATTGAAAAAACTAGGAGGTGAACTACCCACAGAAGTGAAGAAAATTGTGGATAAATCAAACCCACCAGAAACGAAACCGCAGCTCTCTCTTGTGGCTTGCTACAGCGACTCTGAAGACGAAACAGACAGTGAAGCACCAAAACCAGTTTTTCCTATAGCGCCGCCTCCTGAGCAGAGCAAGACATCACATAGCACGTTATTTCCGGCAACGAAACCCATCGACATTAAAGATTTTGAGGAGTCGCCAAAAACGGAAGGGGAGGAAGGCTTCGATGCGAAAGCTTTTCAACGCAAAAGACGAATAGGCGTTGCGTTGGTCAACACGGGTAAAAAACCGAAAGTTGATGATGACAATGAACGCAAAGGATTGGGATTTTCCAGCGATAGTAATAGTGGCGACAATGTTGCCAGTAGTGGTAGTTCATACACCGGTTTTAAAAGCGGGGGCGTTATGTTTGTAAAGGCTGATGTTTTAAATCCATCACAACCTGCACCATCTAGTAAAGATAATGAAAATTCAAAAGAAAAGTCTGAAAATATTTTGAAAGAAATTGAAGATACGTACACAACACTGAAAGAAAAACTGGGATTTTTGAGCGAAGGGCGAGATGAAGTGTCACCGGTACAAGTTATGCTTATACAGATTGAGGTTTGATGATTTAAAAAAAAAAACCTTTGTTTCTATTGTTGTTTTTAGACTCTTCACGTTGCGTTGAGGTCAGGGGACTTGAGACATAATTATTTGAGAAAATGGCTTGATGACACGTGTGCAGATCTTATAAAACTTGAAAAAGAAACCGCACCCGATGGTTGGCTTCTTCAGTGGGATAGGTACGAAACGTGTTATTTGTTTTATTATGCTCCAGCTTTCGTCTTTTATCCTCGGATTCCTTTCGTCCTGTTTATCCTTTCTTTTTTGTTTTTATTCGCCGTAGCCAACGACAAGAAATATCACATACTACAGGTAAGAATTATTTTAATTTTATTCTTATTGTTGCTAAAACATCTTAATGATAAAGATAAGTTTAGTTTTGAATTTTTCTTGAGTTGAAATCGGAGTTGCAAGTCTTTTCAAACACATTTAGCATCAGTGTTGAAGCTTTTTGAACTTAGTTAATTAAATAAACTCAGGTTTGTAGATACTTTTTATTTAGCCATTTTTCAAAATTTTTGTTTTCTATTCTCGCTATATGATTATTAATCTTTCTGTGTATGTGTAGGACGAAGACATGGTGATCCAATCCCTCGTACTTTACCAGCGGAAGAGGATATTTTCTTAACTTTATAGTTTTAAATTAGTAGTAAAATTAAATTTTAAGTGAGCAGGTATAGTATAACATCCAGGAAATGACCAAAACAAAACAAAAGTGCTTGTTTTTTATATAGACAAAAAGCGAGTTTCATCAAGTATCAGAAACAAAAATTTGGTGAAACCAGCTTTTTCTTTGGCGCCATTTCTGCGGTGTGCATCGCGTCGGTTTTTCAATGCACACGAAAAAAAAACTTGAAAACAAGTCAAAACTGTATCCTGTGAGGTCGTTTTGGTGGTGTTTTAGGACACATAAGCGTTACTATTATCAGAACGCGGCAACAGGGGAGAGTCAGTGGGAATATCCACAAGCGGATGTAACTGTGTGTGATGAAGCCATGGATATTTGTACAACGCCCCCTCCTAATGGGGCGGAGCCAACAATCCACATGTCTCCTCCATTACCTCCCATCATAGGTGGTAGCCCCAGTCCTCCACCTCCTCCCACAATCAGCGATTGTAAACTCGGCAAGAAGAAGAAATGTGGTAACTAGTACCTATAGTTGAAGTTTTTTCCTTGGATTTCATTTTTTTGTTTAAGATATTCCACTTCCTCCAGAACCAAAGGAACAACCTCCTAGTTTAAATATTGCGGTGGAAAGGTACGATAGTAATGGTGAACCTTTGCCACCAGGAGTTGATGCGTTCGATGTGACGGCGAAAGTGAAGGTGAGAATAAACACCAATCAAAGTGAATTTAACACGTGATTTATTGTAGGGTGGCAAAAATAATGATATGAACGATGTCTTAAATTCGTTTTATTCTGACATTGCCGCAATTGATAGCAACAACTCCCCAGTTTTGAACGTTAGTGAAGATGTAAAAAGTGAAAGTAACATTGATGTGACAGAGCCTGCCAAGAAAAAGAAAAAAGCGAAGGTGTGTTTGTTGTTTCTTGAAATATTTATTAAATTGCCAAATAATTACACTCAAGTTTATTTACTTAATTTTGCTTTGATCTTAAATATTATTTCAGGTCAAACTGGCTCAAGGAATCGCCATGAAAAAGAAAGGCGTGTCAAAACTAGTAGAGAAATGGAAAAATGTACAAATGTCTTACAATGACTGATAATAAAAAACCAAAATACTTTTTTTCTTTTAATGTCTTATTATAACCTCTTTCTTTTCAATTATTACATCAGTAAATATTATTTAAATTTTATAAAATCAGATACGTACATGAATTTATGAATTCGTGTTTAGTTTTTACCCTTGGCCACGGCATTCAATTTTTACAACAATATTTTAAGGTTATCGAAAGCATCTTGTATACAAAAATTCTTCAAATTTGAGTGTTTTTGGGAAAAACAGAGTGTGGTTCATTAATTAATCAGTCCTCTTCTGCGTGGAGGAGACAAAATCAGTCAAATTTCATTTTCTTTTAACCGCAGATGCTTGTAAACTGAACGTGCTAATAGTTGAATTCTTTCGAAATATAAACACAGACAATCGAGTTAACCTATTGAGAAACTGAGAATATCTACATTTTTTCCCGTTGGTTATGTCTCATGTAGAGGTTACCACAGAACTAAGATCGCAAAGTTTGATTTTATAACTTTTTAAAGCGGGATTTGTCGGACTATACTTTAATGTAATTAGGGCCTGTCCTATAGATTTTTTTTACAATAACTTATTAATAGGGTAATTTTAACGAACATGTAACTTCGTGTTTTTTTTTAAGATTTTTAAAGCCACAATTAACATTTTGTTGGGTTAAATTAAAACAAAAAAATTACTTTCCAAAAAATTTATTCTTATAAAACATTAACTTAAGCCACCAAAGCAGAGGCTGTGCTAGACTCGTACTTCCAGTTAGGTGCCAAAACGTTCTTTGTCTTGTAATATCTTGCGAGACGGTGAATACGTGACTCAACCAGAATCAATCTGAATTTGCTGTCTTTATCCTTACGATTACGCTCCAAATGCTTGCGAATGGCTACAGCTTTCTTAATCAAGTAATATAAATCTTCGGGTAGATCAGGAGCCAGTCCCATAGCTTTCATGATACGCAAAATTTTATTGCCTGTCACAAACCTGACTTGGGCAACACCGTGCGAGTCCCTGAGAGTCACACCTGAGACGAAAAATTGTAACTAAGGATAAACAATATGCAACAACTACTCACCAATCTGGGATGGGGTCAAACCCTTTTTGCCCAATTTAAAAATATAGTCTTTGACTTCATCAGGGGTTACCTTCAGCCAAGTGGGAACACTACGTCTGTAGGGGAGCGCCGACTGGGCGATACCCTTACTGAAATACAAGAAAATATTATCGGAACAGACCACGCGGTAACGTAACCTCAACCAAAAATATTATTAATATAAAAAAGACTTGGTTTAGGTGTCTTAAGTTAGCGCTGGAGACAGCCAGTTGATATGATGTGAAAATTCTTACCCAGGAGCGTGCATACGACCCATTTTTCTGAAATTTCCAGCAAATCAACCACTGAACTTGCTACGACAAACGAAAAGAGTTGTGAGAGATTTGTGGCTAGCTACGAAATGTCAAATTGCGCATGACATTGGCTACGTTGTCGAGTGAAGTTGTCGTTACGATTTTTTGTTATGTAAAAGGAATATATATTTTTTAATTAGTTTACCAACTACAAAGAGTTTGCGTTATTGATAATAACGTCTAGCAAAATTTGACTATACTTGTAGAATTACAACTGTGTATGAGAAGATTTTAGCATGTAGCTAACTTCGGAGCGTACAGATGCTACGTTGATAATGGCTACATCGTAGCCGACGATGCTACGAAATTTTGCATTTCTGTAACAAACTGTCATCAGAAATCTTGTTTGTTATGTCTAGTACCAATTTCAACTAATTTTTGCTTTAATAAATCATTTTTTAAGTTTGTTAGTGTAAAATCAGTGAGTAGTTGGTTGTAGTTGGCACCGGCCGCATCATTACGAGTTTATTATGAGTGCATCCAAATCAAAGCTGAAAAATGAGTGATGACAGTGATTCCGGCCCGAGAAACAAACGGAGAAGGAATATTTGTTTATTAGACGACAGCCCAAGCAGTGCAAGCAGTTCCACCGGTAGTTCAGTAGTAACTACTACAAGGCGACGAGTCCGCAGAAGATACATTGAAGATGACTCTGATTCAGATAGTGGAAGTTCTATTGAAGTTCAACGCAAACGAAAATCCGTTCCTGTATGTATATGTAACCCAGAAAGTCATTCTTTAAACCTTTTATTGCAGAGAGTGGCAAGTGATGCAGAGTCAGACAGTTCAGGTTCGGTGATAATCAAACGCTCTAAGCGTCCCGCTAGAGTAGTTAGTGAATCTGAGAGTTCTGAAGATTCAGACCATGGGTTTGAAGGAAGTTCCAGTAGCCAATGGGAAACAGATATTTCAGATAATGAAGCTCCCAAAAGCACCACTGCCAAAGTACAAGACACTGGAGTCGATTCAGATTCCAGTGATGGCCAATCAGAAAAATGCCCGATTTGCCTCATATCTTTCACTAATCAGGAAGTTGGTACTCCTGAATCTTGTGACCACATGTTCTGCGTTGAGTGTATCCAAGAATGGTCCAAAAATATGAACACTTGCCCGGTTGACAGGCAAGAGTACCATATGATTTTAGTTAGACGTAGTATCAATGGAAGTGTCTACAAACAAATTCCCATTCAGGCGCCAAACCCTCAGAATGACATTGATATTGTTGAAGATCCAACATTTTGTGAAGTTTGTGGACAAAGTGATAGAGAGGATCGAATGTTATTGTGTGATGGATGCGATTTAGGCTATCATCTAGAATGTTTGAATCCACCATTGCTAGATATACCTCCGGGATCATGGTTTTGTAATGACTGCAGTCCTGAAGATTTAGTTGATCCGGAAATTGAGTTGTATGAACTACAGTTGTTGCTGGATGATGCTAATGATCTGGGGAGGCCTAGAAGTAGCCGAAGGACGACTTCGTCGAGGTGAATTATAAATTTAATTTCGTTGAAGCTTTAAGTTCGTTTTTTTCTGTAATTTTTCTACTGTATTTTGAAAAAATTTTGGTTAAGAGTATGTAATAAACACCCAGGCTTTTTTAATTTCTTTGTTTTCTAACCGCTGGAAATCCTTATTACAAATAAGTCATCAAATAATTATTAGCTGGTGGTGACATATGTCTTAATCTTTTTTTTTCACTTATTTTATACTATTTGTGATCTTTAAAAAGCCTGGTGGAAGAAAATACAATCTAACAAGTGCAGTAAGTTAAATTTGCTTAAATGAAAGGAATTATGATCAGCTTTATTGAGTAGTCATATTTGACTATTTTTTGAATCTTGTGTTTAATGAAAATTTATAAGAATCTGTTTTACCAAAACTACGAAAAAAAGTGATAATTGAAAAAGGTTGAATTTCGTTGAAAATTCGTATAATTAAAAAAAAAAACTTTTATTTAAGATCACGTGGCTTCAATCAAAAGTAGATTTTTGTAGTCTGAAAAGTGTCTGATATTAAACACGAAAAGTGTAATTTGATATAGAGTGAAGCTAAATTCAATTCAAAAACGGCGTTTACAGTGCGGGCCACGTGACACGGATTTTTGTGGCATAGTCAAAACAGTTTTGGTTTACAGCTGATAATACTCTACTTGTATATGGAAATAAATTATGAACAGTATTATGAATTACATACTCTACATGAATCTGATTTTTTCTGAAAAATTCTAAAATTAGTTATTTTTCTTTTAAGACGATAGTTTTATTTGGAGAAATTTACAAAAACAATCTTCCCAGTGTTAACGTTTGTCTGTTTTTAGCACGGTTAAAATGTGTAAAAATTTACGAAAATCTTAAACTTTGCAGAGCTGATTGTAACAGGGTTTTGGAAGTATAAGATTTTGAAGATCCGTCCTTGAATGAAACATAAAGCACTTTATTTTATACAATTTTGTTTCTTTGTTCTTGGTTTGTGAAGTATTAACAATATATTTTAAAAATTGGCAGATGGCGTTATTTTTAATGTTGTTTCCTCTAAAACAATCTCAGAATGTTACCATTTCCGACAGTTATATCATATTGTGCAATATTTTGGTCGAGTTTCATTTTTAAGCTATTTAATTTTTCTACTTGCGACGAAAATTTTTGGAACGTCGGTTTGACTAAGGGGGGATACACTTGGAATAATAAAATTTGGTACAAAATGACAACATTTTATGGTATATTGTGATAAACTCAACAAGTTTGAACTTCAATGCGTATGGCTAACAACACAAAGGGTTATGAACTTATGTTAAATTTTTAACATTAGTTTTAACATTATTTCATAATCTTATTTGTTATGTTACTACAAAAAAAACAGTAGGATATTTGCTATTATTATTATTATTATTATTTTTGATGTCATAAAATATTTTTAAAACGGTATATTTAAAACATTTTCAATCTATAGCCAATTAGGAATAACTTTAATCAAATTAAAAATGCCCTGGTGTTAAGTTCTGCGTTATGGTACAGAGTGTACATATTAAATGTGAAGTTTTTGAAATTTGTTATGGCCAAGTTTGATGGCTGATTGTCAGAAGCGCAGCGAAGAAATACCATATGGTCGAAAAAACGTCCAGTAAGCTACGAAATTTATTTTTAAAATAATAATGTTGGCATTGCAGCTATTTGACACTTTATTTGATAGTTATTTGACCATAAATGTTGTAGTAATTGAAATGGTGTCACTTGTTCTGTTTTATATTTAAACATTAAAAATATATCTAAAAAAAAAAAAAAAAATACAAGTGCATCCAAACGTTCGTCCTCCTTAACCAGAAAAATTATTATTAACTATTTTTAGAAATAAAAATCTGCCGTTCATTACCATTTTACAACATTTCTGTTTCCAGGTATTTAAACGCGCTCATAGTCACAGACTTATTAGAACTGTCATTGATGCTCGAAATAGCGCGCAGTTTCGAAGAATCTCTCGATTAACGCTATTTAATGACCTTACCCAATGTAAATTTCTTTTTTTTCCAATCTGAAAAATAAACCTCAAAATTTCCTCCTGTGTCTTAGAAACTTACCACTAGTCACCCATAACGAACAAGAAGACAAAAATTGTTTTTCATCGACAGATTAGTACCTCGGACTCGGCAAAGCGAAAGGGTTCGTCGGCGAATCGCCAACAACCGAAGTGTCAACCAACCCGTCGAACCCCCCCAGCCCGTCACCAGCACCACCTCCCGTCGCAAGAAGAAGCGGAAGAAGAGGAAACCTCGCCACAGAATCGTGTATCAGGTCGATGAAGCCACCGGAGAGACCATCGCAGTGAAGAGACGCGTGAAGAAGCGAAAACCGCGGCGGCGGAAAATCGTCCCCAAAACCGCGAAGAAGCGGCTGGCGATGCAGTTGGGGATGTGCAGCAGTCGTGGAGTTCCACAGAGTCTGCCAGACGTGAGGGTGCCGCCGCAGGTGAGCAACCTACAATCGCAGAGATTTCAAGCGGGAATTCCCACTCTGAGGCTGTTCGGTAACCGGGACGGGCTAGATTTGTGGATGAGTGACGAGATGGACGAAGAGGATGGCTCAGGAGTGGTGGTTCGCAGAGGAGCGAGTCGCAGGAGGCTGGTGAAGAACGTCACTTTATCGAACTCGGTGTCGAGTAGCACGGACATCCTGGGGAGCATTTTAGACGAACAAGCCCGGTTTCATTCTAAGAATACGAAGTTTTCGATTGGAAAAAACGGGAAGGTTACGATGGAGTCGTCGGATCGGATTTTAGGAGAAATGAACAATTTCAATCACTTGGTGAGGAGTGTCCCGGGTTCTTATTCCAGTACCGGGAGACATGACAGCGTTCCTACGTCTAGTGGACACGGTCACTCGAGTCCCGATCGGAACAATTCGGCTCCGACTTCGACAGTCGAGAACAGTACAGTCACGACTAACTCGACGGGTGGTGGAGAAGGGCACGAGGCGCCTCAAGACTACAGTCGAACTGATCTATGTACACTCTACGATGTTAACATTGAAGATAACCGAAAAGAAAAGAAAGTGGAAGAGTCCGAAAACAACACCCCGAGAAGTGGTACACCAGCAAGTGAGTCCGAAATCGACATTTACAGCGATATTGAAACCGTGAGTACGAGTAAAGTCGATGAAAGTGATTTTAAAGCACCGTCTCCACTTCCGGTTACTCCGAATGGGGGTGGAAGTGACGACGAGAATAATGATAGTGAGCCTGATATGGTCATAGACACGGAAAAGGCGAACCCTGAACCTGAGGAGAACACGAAAGAGGAGACGACGGTCACATCAACCGTTGATTCAAACGCTGAGGTCATTCCGGTGCTGCAAGCTGTGACTTCAACTTCAGAAATTCAGTCGCAGGCGGTACAATCGTCGAATGAGGTCTGCGAAGAGAAAACTTCTGAAACGAAAAGACATGACGATGACGAAGACTCAGAAGACGGTTGTCCAAATTTCAGTATTTATTCGAAGGAGAGTATAACGATGGCTAAAAACACCGATATCACGTTGGGTTCGTCTGAGGATAACCCACAAGAGAACAACCAAGTGGGTGAGATAAGTTCGTCTCCTGCCGAGAAACCTCCAAACACACCAGAAGAAAAAGTGGAAGAAGTAGTACAAAAACCATCAATGAGTACGGGTTTATATAGCGATTCCGAAGACGAAAGCATTGTGAAAAAAGGAGTACAAAACTCGTTTGGAATCAGCGATATACGTAACATGACCGAAGACATAAGCGAAGAAGAGAGAAGTTACACACCGTGTTTGGACGAAAGACCGAATTTCAGACAGGGTATTGAAGGTCTGGATACCGAGATGATCTCCGACGAGGACCGGAACGATTTCGATGAATCTCATGACTTGAAAACGGCATCAGATGGAGATGCCCTCGAGATTAATGCGAAAGAATCCGAATTGGATTTTACGCGCCCGGAAGATTACGAAGAAGGAGAAATCGTGGACAAATCCAAAAACAAAAAAAGCGAGGAGACCCAAAAGAAGAAAGACGAGAATGTGAAAAAGCCGGCTAAAAAGAAAGAAGACTCCGACAAAGTGGGAAATAAAGAAAACGAAAATCAAAATGGAAACAAAGAATCCACGTTTAAAAAAATCAGCAAGAACAACAAAGAGCGCAACTATAGAGACAAAGATAAAGATCGGGACCGTAGCAAATCGCGTGATAGAAAAGACAAAGATGGTAGAAAAGACAAAAAGAAGGAGAAGCGAAAAGAAATAGAACGTTATGACGTCCGAGCTTTGATAGCAGAGAAACCTCGACGATTGAAGGATAAGTTTGGTCGAGATATTAGAAGAACTCTGTCACGTTCAAGGACTCGAACACCCAGCCTTCCGAGAAGATCGTTATCCAGGGGTAGAAGATCTACCAGCCGTCGATCGGCGTCAAGGCGACGATCTCTTTCCAGAAGAAGATCGCTGTCTAGAGGACGAAAGAAGAGAAGACGTTCAAAAACTCGTCGATCTCTATCTCGTTCGAAGTCCAAATCGCCGGATCGAAGACGATCGCGTTCTAAAGCTAGAAAACGTAAGCGTTCCCTCAGTCGTGACAGACGGAAAAAGTCACGCGATCGATCAAAGGGTAAAGCAAAAAAACACAGAAGTCGTAGTAGACATCGTTCTAGGTCACCTTCACCAAAACGAACTAAGGAATGGAGTAGGAGGCATTCTCGAGATTGGACTCCTTCGTTATCAAGGTCCAGAACACCAGAAGGGAGACATTTAACACCATCGTGGACACCGCCCAGGATTATGGACAATTCAGTCAAACCTCACAATCTAACTGTGATTTTAACGAACGATGCCAATAAGAAAAAGAAGGAGAAAAAGAAGAAGAACGAGAAAAAAACGAAGGAGAATGAACGAACAAAGAAAAAGAAGAGAAATGAAAGGACTCCACCACCGTCAAAGGAGGTGTTTGCGTCCGGCGACAACATCCTCGTCAGTGTTAGTTTTAATAAAGATAACGAAACGAGAGATGTTTCTACGAAGAAGAAACGGGAAATTGAAGAAGCCAACAAGAACAAGAAGAAAGAGAAAAATAAAAGGAAGAGACGAAGTAGGGACTTGAGTGGGATCAAACCTGTAGCAATCATCGATCTGGAGAGGTCGCCTTTCAAGGAATTGACACCCTCGCCTAAAGATGTCATCGTGTTGAGCGACAGCGAAAATGAAGAATCCAGAAACATGCAAAAGACAATGTGCGATTCGTCGCAACAGGTAGCAAGTCCGGAGAGATTAGTTAACAGCTATACCACTGGTCCAAAAACGCCTCCAGAACCTCAGGTGAAATTCACTTTGACCAAACAGACACAAATGAGGGCAATTTCAAACCCTCTCCACGAGCCGGATGATATTGAACCTGAGGAAGAAAATACGCAAGAGGTGGCTGATGCTTTGCATAAAGGTCCCAATACACCTCCAGAGCCTCCAAACTCGCCTCCAAGTTCACCGGATGCGTACGATCCGTTCGAACCCACCAAGTCTCGTTCGCCAACACCCGAACCAATACAAACCACGCAGTCTAACAGCGTATTAAATCTGGACGATAATCGGGACGACAGTATTATAGAAACGCGTACAGAAGCCGATAAAACAAATACTTCTCTTCCACCACCGGATGTATCAAAGTCGCTTACGCCACCTTTGGCAGACGTGCAACCTGCGGATTCGCAAAGCAGCATCCAAGCCACCCCCGAATCTAGTTTAGGTAAATCCCCGGAACGCAGTACGACTGCGCCGATTCAGACGCAAACTATAACCGCGTCAAAACCAATCGCTCAAACCATTCCGTTCTCCTCGTCGGTAGCGACGTCTCTAATGACGTCAACGCCGGTCAGTACAAGTCTAGCGCCGCCTAGAATCAACATACTCAACACTACTATTATCACACCACCACACGTTGCGTCATCAATTCCGCAAAGAATCGTCCTGCCGAATACAGTTAAGTCGAGTCCTGTGAAGATATCACCCACGAAGCCTCCCATCAAGTCGACTCCGATCAAACCGATGCCTTCAAAGACCCCCAGAAAGTCGACCAATCGTAATCAGAACGGCAGCGACACCGTGGAGTCGAATCTGGGGTTGGATTCGCCGTATTCTCCCGGTTCTAGTGATTACGAAGATCTGTTCGAACCGCCAGTCGAGACAGCTCCTAAACCCGCGGCTAAACCGGCCAACAAGACTACCAAGTCGCCCACGAAAATACAAAACGCGTTTGATGCACTCTTCGGTTCACCGTTCAATAAGGTTAAAACAAAACCAGACAAACCAGCATCGGCCAAATTTAACAAAAAACCCTCAAATACTTCCGGTAAAGGTACGCTCGACTGTTCGTATGGATTTTTATACTGATGGTGACGATTTTCAGGTACAAAACAGGTTGGCGTTAAACTGGATGAAGACAACTTGAAGATTTTAGACGAGTTGCCGAATTCAGCCGTGGAGATGCAAGTAAAGGACAAGGTTTGACGTTTATGTGTGTATTAGCAATGTACCAATTTTTGTTTTCCAGTTTTTGAAGAAACTAAATCGTCAGGAAAGGGTTGTGGAGGAGGTGAAGTTGGTACTCAAGCCGCATTACAACAAGAAGCATATTAATAAGGAGGAGTATAAAGACATTTTAAGACGAGCTGTTCCTAAGGTATGTTGGGGTGTACATGGAGGAATTGTAGATAATTTTGGGTTGTTTTCAGATTTGTCACAACAAGTCGGGCGAGATTAATCCGACGAAAATCAAAAATCTTATCGAGGCGTATGTGAAGAAGGTGCGACACAGTAAAAAGGTTACATCCAGTAGTAGTTCCGTCAATCCTCAAAAAGCTTAGCTCTTGAAATCTAATTTAAATTGATTGTGTACATATTATTTCAACTTAGTGATATGTAAGTTTTATTTTTTAAGAATCATAGTAGCAGAATTAATTGAATATTATTTATGTGCGCCAAGTATGCGATCTTGTGAAATTTTAAGTGTATTGACATTTTTAGGCAAATATACTTCTGTATATTTAACACATGATTTTTATTAGTCCTTAAGAAAAAGCGGAGTTAAACTAACTGCAGTAAACTTTATTTAGAGAGACATATCTACAAGCGTTACAGCTTACACAGAAACTTTAAAAAACTAGGAATCTTTGGAATAACGAATAGAAGCACTTAAGCAGCTTCGGCAAAACCGACTCTGTTATTGCCCAAGTCAAATTCGGTGTAAAACTTCCCAATGAAAACATCGCCTAAGATCCACAACGGCCCGTTTGGTGGAGGAATATCGATTCCCATAAAGCCAGACAAGCAAATAGTTTTACCCATTTGTGACACCTACAATGTATTTTCAAACTTGCTACTCTTTCTAACTAAAACTACTTACCCTCAAAACGTAATCTTTTCCTTCCAAGGTGAAGTTCTTTCCTGCCAAATTGAAATCAATCAAAGGTAGTTTGGGGATGAGGTTACAGTCGACCATGTATTCACCGCCCACGATGGGTGTGGCCCCAATAGCTTTATTTATACCCTGAACTTCGCTAACTGGTCCGGCGATTAAGCTAGTTCCGGTATCGGCGATAGCCTCGCAGCCATTGGCACAGAATGTGCCTTTGCCCACTGTCAAACTGTCCATCTTGAATTGCCAATAGGCTTGTCTATCGACGGGTAGGTAGGTGAAGTCACCTTTGTAATGGGCTGGATCTGAACCGCCCAAGATGATTTCACCTCCTTGAGCAGCACTGGGGTCCCTATAAATATCGTACTTTAGTCCACGATATTGTGTGTAAACAAACAAGCGCAAACCGATTCAGATAGAAAGAGAATATAGGTTGACCTATGAGGTTTTGTGACATCATGTTGTAAAAGACAGGAACGACACCGTCCACAGAAATGCGGCTGTAAGCCATTCCCAAAATTCCATCGAATTTTGCGGCAACGAAGGCCAAACCTGGTTCACTTAGGGCTTCGGCGAAGGTTTGTTGCTGTATATTTAAACCACCGACCTAGAACAATTATCTAAACATTAGGTGGTTCGTATTTAATGATTTCAGTAAGCAACTGGCTAGGCATTTATTATTAAATTATTATTATTATTATTATTAAATGTTGGATAAGTTTCGGTGTTATTCTCATTTCATTCCAAATAATAATAAAATAAGGCACCAAACAATAAAATCTTTATGGGTAAAGAGACAACCATAAACGGACAAATTAAAATATTCATTTTTTGCTGACTAAATATGTGTTATCAAGTTTATTTTTGAGTGTAGTAGTGCAACGTTTATAAGGATCCAACTATGTCTTAAGAAGACTACTTACAAATAAAATTATTATAATCAGCAAAACTCAAAATAAGCATTTTTGAACTGTAAATTAATCCAAGCAAGCGACTTAGCTCCACTAAAAATTTTTGATGTCACCGTTGCTCTAGCGCCTGACACAGACAAACTAATTAGTGGAAAACAAATTTCTTTCTGTCTTGTTACCTTTACCCATAAAGAATCACAATTTGATACCTTTCTTTGATTCACTCTATAAATACAAGATATTTTAGCATAAGAAGTAGGTCAAAGCATAAGAAAACAATTATCCGGTCCACTACGAATGCCAGAACTACGTATATAAATAAAATAGATTTTCAGGGAGAATCACCACAAAAAATGAATTTTCCTCTTACAAGAACTATATCATAAAAATTTATGATGATAATGTAGGAGGAGAAAGTTTAGTATATGAGGCGTTTAGTCGAGTGATTAACTTTCTCGAGTGGATAAAATCTCTACTCACGACCGTCATGTATTTTTTTCCAATAACTTTTACTAAAATCCTTTTAAATCGAAGTTGTTAAAAATTTAAATTCATAATGCATAACTTATTACAACTGCGTCCACATTGTAATGTGTGTTGTGGGTTGCTGTAAAAATTGTAAGTTTATTTGTAAAAATAAACTTACGAAAAATATAAACCACATGTAATTCTAATCACGTCTCCGTTGGCTTTATAATGCATGAATATCTTTAAGCGATCTTCATTAAAATGTTGCTTTAGAAAAGAATGACTACCACATACAAAAGGCAAAAATTGGTCCAAAGTTACTTTGGAACAAATTCCACTTTTTTTGAAAAATTGCGTCACGCAGACGTATAAATCGTGTTGGGAATAAAACGTTATTATACCTTGCAAATGTTTTTGCAAAAATTTGAACGTTTAGCGAAAAAAATTAAAGTGGATTCGTACACTACAAGCATATGAGTATATTTTTGTGTAACATTCACATCATTTTAAAAGACCATTCATTGAAATGACATCATCAAATTGTTGGTGGGGATGATTAGCCAAATTTTGGTTAGCATTTAACCACATACATGATATTTCTAATAAACATACAAAATTTGATAACAATCAGTCCAGCGGTTTCGGAATACTACTTTTTTCGTAGTGTAGGGGTCATGAAACGTCGAGAAAACATAAAAGTGGCCATTCGTCCGATGGACTCCATTACAATACTTCGTTTACGCTCGGGACGCAATACTAATAAATTTTCGGGAAAATGGGATGTCGTTCCAGATTTAATTAACGAAATTAAAAACTTAAACTCGTTCATTAATTTTAATCTTAAAAAATATTGGTTGAAAGTTGTTTCGACAGAACTTCCCTCGCTCCTGACGTACAATGAAACATATTCGAGTTGAGTTTTTTCTTTACACAATTTGATGATGACGTCATCAACATTTTTGCAAGGACACGTATATCAACTTGGATGTGTGTAATATTAAAAATATACTATATTGTATTCCCAAAATTTTCTGGGAAAATCGAGTGAGCCGTTCCTGATTTAATGAATAAAATAAATTGTCCCATTCATTAATTTTTTTGAGCCACCTGTTTAAGCAAATCTAAACGAGAAGCAGGCTTCACGAACGTGTTGCGTACAATATTATTTGCAACGAATAAACTTTTAAATCGAAAAGATTAACTGTAAGTTATTTATAAATAGGGCTAGGCGGTTGAAATGTATGCACTGTGTATGGACCCCTACCACGGCAGACCAGTGGCTCCCAGCCGATGTTACGCATCGCGAAGAAAATTATGAGAAAACAAATGTTATATAACTGAATGTCAGTTGATGATTTTAAAATCCATATCTACGACATAATAATATTAATAATATTTTTAATAATTTTCAAGTGTAGGTTTCGCTGAAAATAAAACTATTTCTGTAAATTATCAAAAATGATGCACAATTGGAAAGCGAGAAGCGAGTAAGGCAAGGTTGCACCGGCCGCACTCCAGACGGGTAGTGGGGATGAATAAATTTCGACCGCCTAGCTTTATTTATAAACAACGACGTTGACGGCGCCGTAAACAATTGGCAATTTGACGTTTCCGGGCTAGGCTACCATGGCAACGCACAGCAAAAAGTACCTGTGTGCGATGTTCGACCTCCCGCATGCTGCTGAATGCGCGAAGGTCATCAAAAAAGTCATGAGTGCAAAAAAATTATTTACAGCACATCGGAAGAATGTCACGTAGACATTTGTTTGATTTGAATGAGTTTATCGCCCCAAAGCATATGACTAAAATTATTCATAAGCCTCCATTGAACACAATATTCTGAATGTTATTATTAACTGTAATTCTTACCTTATCATTATTTTATTGTTATAAAGACGAGCGTATTCTCACATTTTCCAGAAAATGGGGCGGCTCATTCTTAATTTGATCAATAATAAATTGACTGATTTATTAATTTTTTTAAGTCACCTGTTTAAGCAAATCTAGAAAATACGAATCCAATGACTAATAGATACATTTTCATTAAAAAGTTACCATGCTTACAATAACTTCAAAACGTCAAGATTTCAAAGTATTCAGTTTTGCAACTCTTGATTTAATCAATAAAATAAATTGATTCAGTCATTAATTTTTTTCACACACCCCGTATAAGCAAATCTAAAAAATATTAATGCACAAGTGTAGACTCATCATACTTTGTACATTTAATATAGCATTTTTTCAGCAAAATTTTGGGGTGGCGTCATCAATTTTTTAGGGGGGATGAGCAAATACATTTTGATCAAAAATTTACCATGCCTATGATAACTTTAAAACATCTCCAAGATTTCAAAGCATTCGGTTTTGTAGTTTCTGATTAAATCAATAAAATAAATTCGCGCATTCATTAATTTTTTTTTTGTCACCATGTATATGCAAATCCACAAAATATGAATGGAATCACATGTACAGACTCATCATATTTGGTACATTTTAGATAGGATTTATTCGGCAAACTTTTGAGCTGACGTCATCAATTTTTTGGAGGGGATAAGTAAATATGTATATTTTGATTAAAAATTTATCATACTTATAATAACTGTAAACCATCTGCAAGATTTCAAAGCTTTCGGTTTTGCAGATTCAAAATTGAATTGCAAAATGTTTTTTTATAATTTTATTTTTTCCAAAAATCTGGACGTTTCGGGTAAAAACTCAATACGGAATCGTAAACTACACGTGTAGGACTATGTTATTTCATACAACTTAAAACCCATATACTATGTGCAATTTTGAAGTGACGTCATCACATTATTGGTGGGGATGATTAGGCATTTTTTTTTAGTTAGCGTTTTACCATCTACATGATATTCCTAATATAAATCCGGGACGGGAGACAGACGGACAGACAGACCGACAAACAGACAGACAGACGGACGAACAGATAACGTCTGCAAAATTTAGTGCAGGTCCTGATTTAATCGATGGAATAAATTGATTCATTAATTTTTTTGAGTCACTCTGTATAAGCAGTCCGAATAATGTGAACGCAATGATAAATTACCTGTACAATCTCATAGTATTTTGCAAGTTTAGTCATACATTTTTTGGGATGGAATAAACGATCAATTTTGATTAACGATTTACCATGACTACAATAATCTTAAAACGTTTGCAAGATTTCATAACATTCGGTTTTGCAGTTTCAAATTTAAATTGCAAAATTTTCTTAAGTTTTGTTTTTTCCCCAAAAATTTGGATGCTTTGGGTGAAAACTCAATACGGATTCATACACCACAAGTGCAGGAGTATATATTTTATAAATAAAAAAAAATAGTACGGTAAATTTTGGAGATGACGTCATCTTATTGGTGGTGGGGATGATTAACCAAGTGTTGGTTAGCCTTTTACCACCTAGATAATATTCCTAACATACATACACAATTTGACAACAATCGGTCCAGTACTTTTGGAGATTGTTTAATGAATAAAAATCGATACAGACGACAGAAAGACAGACAGACAGATGGACACGGGGAACACTTTTTTTGTACTCTAGGGGTCATGCAATGTGGAGAAAACATGAAACTGGCAAGTCCCCCGATGGACTCTATTACTATTATGTATGTATAATTTTTCTCTAAACTTGAATTTAATTAAAAAACTTGAACAATTTTAAATTTATATTTAGAACAAACTAGAAATGGAGACGTTAGTGAGATGTTCGAATGGAGACAACAGACAAATAATTAATATTTAACGTAACAACCTTTGATGATATTAAATATATGTATATATGGTGAGTCACTAAACGGGCGTTCTTCGATTTCTCATGATTAGAAATAAATAATAATAAAAAAATGGTCGAAGTTTATTTTGACAGAACTTCCCTCGCTCCTCAAGTACAAGCCCAACAAATAACGCTATTTTCAAAGATTATAAAATTAGATTTTGCAATGTTTGTTTTGTGATAACCTCTATAAATAAATAAATAACACCTCTGCTGCCTCTGCGCCGTGGAGACGCAAACTGCAAGGGATTGTGCAAATTGCACAAGTAAAATATATTTAAAGCAGATAACCAACGGAGAAAAATGGACTCTCAGCAATAAAAACAAGCTTTAACTTCAAGTATGTGTTTACACTTCCAAAGAATGTCGCGTAGAAATTTGTTTGATTTGAATCAGTTTGTCGCCTCAAAACAGAGGACTAAAATTATTAATTAAGCCACAGTTAAACACAATGTTCTGGATAGTATTACTATAATTGTTATTGATCAATAAAAATTTATTATGACGTCATCCACATAAAACAAACGGCCAAACTGAGCCACGGTCTGGATGTCGTACACTCAAGGTAAACCGTTATTATACTGTGTTAATTTTTTGTGAACATTTGGAGGTTTAGGAAAAAACTCAAAGCAGATTCGTACACCACAACTATAGGAGTATATTACTGTATAATATTTAAATCATTTTAAAACAGAATTCTTTGAAACGACGTCATCAAATTGTTGGTGAGGACGCTTAGCCAAATTTTAGTTCCCGTTTAACCATTTACGTGATATTTCTAACATACAAACAAAATTTGACAACAATCGGTTCTGCAGTTTCGGAGATTCCTTGTCTAATAAAAATGGATACAGACGCCTGACACACAGACAAAGAATATTACCACGATTTATAGACAGCCTCAGTCACACAATAATGCAAATCCGCCCCTGTTCACTATTTGCGCACCGCCAACCCTCGACCGAGAATCTGTAATTTATAGTTTTACAGATTAAAGGCTTACATTTTTAATTTTTAAACTGTAAATTTTTATTAGTACACAAAAATACAGTGATAACGCCTATTGTTTAAAACTAAAATCTTTTGGCAACTGTTTCCTAAGTGATTCCTATTTGTATTTCAACAAGATATATCTTTAAGAATTAAAATTAAAAGTCACAAGAGGTATGAAAAGTATAAATCAACATTGCATGTAGGATTAAATTAAAAAAAATTCTCAACAAATTTCGTAAACGACTGATGTGTGCGTAATCAAGCTACATAAACAAACCTTAGTTAGCAAATATGTGTATACATATAGCAAATACCTGGTTCAAGATACCTTAAAATTAAATAAATAAACGTTACTAAATTGACTGAAAGTACGATAAAGTATGGCGTTTTTATAAACAAGGATTTACAGACAACTGTCGGCGTCAATTAATCGTTGATTTTATTACCAATTCAGCTATCTAACGGTTTTCAAGATTACGTAATATCAACCTTCCGTTTAAAGGAGTGGATAGACGAATCCGATCTTTGTTTTATACCTCCACTATTTCTTTAACTAAACTTGGTTCAAAGTTATTCAGACAAAGCTCCCATTGTCCCTGAAGCACAATCACACCAATTCAGTTCTTCAGACAAAATATAAAATTTAGTTCTGGGAATTTTATTTACATATTTATTTTTGACAACCTATGTAAACATGCTAAGTGTATGTACATATTAACTGAGTATTTCGTAATAAAACTTTGTGATTACATCAACTTTTTAGGATGTATATATACTCCGTTCCCAGAATTTCAGGAAAATGAGCCGCTTTTGATTTAACACAGTAAGATTTAAATTTTATTAGATAACACACTCCTGAACTTGTTGTTAATGAATCCGTCTCGAATTTTACCTCGAGATATCCAAATTCTCGCAAAAAAATCGAAATTGTAAACGGAGTTCATGCAAGGTTATTCGTTAGCAATTTACAATGCAAGTGTTGGAATTGACGTATGTGTCCTTGCTGAAATAATGTTGATCGGAACATTTTCCATTCATATTTTTGGAGCAAGTGTTAATCTGTTTTCTGTAATAGGCCGAGGGGAAATGCACTCCAGACCAAATATAAACAAGTTAACAGAGTATGTTTTCGTAACATAATACGTTCGAATCATAGACAGTGGCGGAGTATGGGTGATTAAAGAATATTTCTATTGGCTTTCTTAATGCAACGATTTCATAAAAATTTTGAATAAATGGACAAAAATATGTTTGTCAATGTGTAAAAAAATGCATGTACAAAATAAACATGTACTTAATTTTTCTTTTATTTCTGAATTTTTTAAATTTTAGTTTTTCATATTTTTTTCTAAATAAACCTTACGCAAAATATGAAATTCATATTCGTAATTAGCAATACAACAAATGTGCGAAACAGCTGAGGCAAAAACAGGTCTTTGAACATTTAAATTTTGCAGGCCTGTGTAAGTTGAGGTTACATATATTTATAATATGTACCATTTTCACATATCGCTGTAAATGTAACTTTTTATATATTAAATACATATTGTGCTTATGTGGTAGTCGTATGTCATAATTTCAAAAACCAAAAACAAAGTAGGTAAATAATGTTATTCGATTTTTTTCTTTGGTTTGGTACTTTCAGAACCGACGTTTGCGATTTGTTCTTACCAAAAGAATTCTAATTGCTCTTCATAAGGACCTTCAATACGTGTTCAGCTTATTACAAAAAATATTCTTAAATAAAACATATTCACATGAAAAAGAAACTCATTTCTGACAAAAACAAAAATGAAAGAAATTAATGCTTCTGTTGTTTAGTCCATTATTGTTTTTATTAGAATATCTGGCATCAAAAATTTCGGTTTTTGACAAATACTGAATTTCTGACGATTTTTTGTTTTTGTTTTTAGAAAATGATAAAAAATCCCATCACCGTTTCAAAAGTCTTATGCAAATTTTAAAAAACAAATTATATATATATATTTTTTTTTTCTAGAAAAATTAATGAACTTACTGTTACAATCCATGATCAAATTTGTTACAAACTGTTTCATAAAAAAATTATCATTCTAATTATAGTAGCTCCATTCACTTGATTTAATTCATGTATTGTAAAAACACTTGATGTGGTTGGTTGCCAAATTATTGTTTAACAAAATTGAAGTGATGATTCACCTCTCACAGTTGGCATGAACAAGTAGGAAACAGGTAATTAACAGTGATGTTATCAATTTACACAACTGTTAAGGAAAATTAACACTTTTGTTATCAGTACTAATATAAATAAATAAGAATACCCTAGCGTCAAACAATTAACAGTTAAAGAAATGCTTGTTTGTGACTTTACTTGGCAATAAAATCACGCATTTACTAAAATGTAAAAATGTAGAATATTCTCCTGAAAACTTGAAAATAATGGAAAATTTGAGGATCATTTAGAGCAGAACAACAGCACGTCACTTTAACAGCTTTCACAGCAGAAAAAGAAATGATGCAGCAAAACCAAAACTTTCACACTGATTTACAGATCCAAAAAATTTTCATCAAAAGAAAGTTTCATAAAAAGGTATATTTCAAATAATATAAAGCAACTGCTTCTCTTATCAATCAAATATCAAATACACCTGGGACCATCACGTAGGCAAATATTGATTTAACAGTACTTACATTAACCACATCGGTTGACAAAAATCCACTCAAACTTCCTGAGCCATATTGAATTGCAAAGGCAGTCCCATTTTTCTTGTAAGTCTTGGACTGAGTCGAGTCATATTTGTTGTGCAACACTGAAAGTAATAATTATTGTTAGTTTTTTAATATTAATAATGAAAAATATTTATCTCGCATGTTTTGTGACCTGTGGTTATTTATCACATGAACTTACCGTTTGGCAATAACAAATATATACTTACAGCACGCTATGTTTGTATAATGACATTTCTTAGAAGGCACCCATAAATTAGATGATCCCGTATCAAAGACAACCTTAAAACTCTGTGGGGGACTCCCAATGGAAATAGGGCCGTAATATTGGGCCTGAAAAAATTAATGTAGCTTGGAAGGTTTTTTCAAATATTGGTACTAATTACATCTAGATAATTTGAGAGTGGTTCTGGAGTTGGTCCTCCATATCTCATCCGGGTTTGTTGGACATGGGTTCCTACTTCTTGCAAAGTGCGTCTTGCCGACTTGACTTTATACAAAGGTACTCTAGAAAATTAATGGTTACATATAAATAGAGAATAAAAAATTAAATTACCTGACAAAAGCATGAGTCGTAACGAGAAAACAAAGACATAAAAATATGAAATTACACCGAATCATTGTTATTGTTTGGTACCAATCGAACGTTTACTCTGAGCTCTGACTTTTGAGAGCTATTTGTATTTATAACTTGTCCCGCGATAATAAAAAGATAACAATGAACCAACAGTTTTATCGTAAGAAAATTAATGTGACCGGCTCCGGTAAAATTGACAGCTACCAACTCGACCGTAATAAAATTACCAAGTTTCTAATCGATAGAAGCTGCGCAATGATGAAATCTTGTTGCCGAACCTGTTGTTTACTCACAGCGGAATTTTCAAATAGTGTCGAAGGTTATCTTTCAGATAAAGAAAGGCGGTTGATATTTTACCGGAAACTAACTCTTTATTGCCATACCACTAATTAAATACAAACAGTTTGTACCATAGCAGTAAAACTCCTATCCGGAGAACCCTTTACAAAATACTGTTAGTCATCAATTCACAACATATGTATAAATATTTCCAAGTAATTTAGTACAAAAATTAAAGCAGTATAAAATTAGTAATGTCTGATATGAACACATTTAGAAACCAGTGTTAGTGAGGTAATGGCAGAGCTGGCTCCTAGAGATTCACCACATTTTACAATAACAAAATTCTTAAATCTTCTAAGACACTCAACATGTGCCGTAATATCTTACATTAAATTCACAACACAGGACAACGGTTATTACTCTTACTTACTGAAACTATCTGACACATGCATTTCACAACACTGTGACTGACGATCGGGTGTCTAAATAATCTGGTGTTAGACAAAGACTTTTATTGTGAAACCCTTGTCACCTATAAAACATCAATCTTTAATCTAAAATGAAAAAAAGTTTCAGCAAATAGGAATTGTGGTCAGTGATACTGTCATCAAATGCAAGTATCGCAACGTTGATTTATGTAAAAAAGTACACTTTTAAGTACACAAATGCACCTAACTTGGCACCCACAATCTACAAACTGTATCATTAGAGTAGAGCAACATTGAACTTTCCATTTGAATGGGAATGTTAGTAAATGGTGTGCCAAAACGAAAACTAAAAAATAAATGCAATTTTCTAAAATAGTGGTGTCATGTAGTACACGATGTGCGATGTTAGGGTGGCCAGCGTGATTTGCAAACCCTAACATTACACAAATACAAAACTAAATGAAACTTATGATTAAATTCGTTATTTGTGTGGTTTATTGTTTAAGCTGCAACCTCAGCTTCACCATTTGATTCCGCTTCAGTTGTCTCTCCAAGCTTGGCCTTCTTCTCGGGAGTTGCGCCTTCGGCTGGAGTTTCGTTAGTGGCATCACCACCTGTTGATTTTCTCTTTACTGAGCAAACTTTATCTGCAACAACACATCCGTTAATCACACACATCAAGCCACAAGACTACGCGAACGCTGTACCAACCTGTGTCGTCAGTGGCAGCGGCAGTGGTTTCTTCTTCCTCGACTTCCGTCTCTTTGCCATTTTCTTTCTCGGCTGGTTCACCATTCTCCGCATTGTCGCCATTTTCGGATTCCGCAGGAGTCGTCTCCTCGGTTTTGGATTTGTCGACCTCCTCGGCGGTGGATTGGACTTCCCTGGTGAATTTAGAATCGTTACACTTGACAGTGACTAAAAAAAGTGCTTCTGACGATTCGCTTAACGAACCATGACAAGTTTCATACGCATGCAATGACCTCTTCTTTATTTTTACAAATTAACTTTTTCGTTACCGAGTGAAAAAATGTTCCGGTTGAAGATAATTTTACGAAGATTTCTTAAAATTTTCGTTTGTGCTTTTGCAGTTATTCCGATTATTATCGATCCATCTTCTTAACATTTATAAGATTACAATTTATTTAGCAGTGGGTTTTATAAAATATGCTCATCAAATTAAAAGTGCTAATGAACTTATAATCAGTAATCTACTTCCAAGGTTGCACCCATGTTACAGTATGGTTACCTAGAGCGATGGCCATAAAACCAATGTAGAATGTGGCCTGAATATCATCACCACTATGTTTTAAAAAAATACTTGATGCACTATTTGATACACAAAACAAAAATAAACTGATACTATGTATATTTATAAACTTGGTTTATAAGGTCTGCACCTAGTACTACAGACAATAAAATAACGATAGTTTATCGATGTTTTGCTCGTAATGTTAGTTTTCTGTTCTCAGACACTTTTTTGCACGACACTAAATAAATATTTAACTGTCTATTTCGTGTATATCAGAATTACAAATACCACCATGTTTATCAAACAATGTTGGTTGGTCTACATTTGAGTTATCATTTGACTAAATTAAAACTATGCGGACACATAAATAACGTGACAACACAAACGACTGATTAGAAAATTTGCTACATGAGAATAGTAAAAATGAATTTGTGTCTCACGATGACACAAAATTGAACACCTAGTTATCAGTACATACATCTTATTTAACAATTTAAGCAATATTTACTCGGTTTCCTAATACCTATAAATACACAGGTGACTTTTAACGCACTCTTCACGAATCAAACGTTATTTATCTTTCGTGGGTGTGAACTTATGAACAGCAACATTTTTGGAGCTGCTTTTAAGCACAATATAAAAATGATATCATCGTTGGCTACAAATCATCAGAATTCAGAGTCATCAGTCATTTTCAGTGGCCCGTTGAGTAAAATGAGTACTTTTTCTGATTCATATTCTGAATATTTTTGATTTTTTTAATATATTCACAATGGTTGCTGGAGATTTGTAATAATAATTCCTGAATCTCGAATTTCATTTTCATAAGGCCAGAAAATTTAATCCTACCGAGGAAAGATTAAGGGAAGTTTTCTTTACTAAGAACAACAAACACTTAATCAGACTTTGTGTTCCAAAAAAAAAAAAAAATTAGTTTAGTTTAGGTTCGTTGACCGATTAATTACTGGGTATAACGAAGTAAAAAACAAGTATTATTATTGGTTAATTAATTAACATTTGCACAATATTGACAAGAAAGCGGTTTATTGCACAAGAGAATTCATTACAGAACACAAAAAAATAAAAACAAATTACAAAAATTTAACTTGTTACAGTATTCATTGCATATGTGTAACGGATGATTCAAATTTTACTTAAAATGTATTTCTAAAGATAATCTTTGTTTTTCAAAAATTATGCATTTGTAATTTTTTACAGCGAATATATTACTAATAATCAACAATAAAAAATGCGCTTTTATTTTTGTTGGTACTTTACGGTGTTATCTAACAAATCAGCACTAGGTCAGAGAACTGTTCTTCAAAATATCAGAACCTTCAGGAAACAAAAAAATCGGAAAAACCTATATGAATGATAGATTGACTTTATCAATCAACGATATGACATCAACAAATAGTTCAGATAAGTTTGTTGATCTAAACACACATTTTTTTTGATAACGCTATAACTGTAAACTAAAATCGTTTTTTTTTTTAAACATCTGTAACATGATTTTATTTGTAATTAAAAATGGACGCAGAGCAAAGATGATATTATTACAGCATTATAGATGCCATCTTCGCTGTTACTCAACATATCATTAAAATTAGCTTTTATCGCTATGACCTGTTAAAATACTTGAAACATCTTACAGACGGGAGCTAACACTGACACATTAATAAGACATGTAAATACAAATACATAAAAGCTAGACCAAACAATAAAAAAAAGTCTTGAACTTATTGTGCACCAGTGAAAAAAAGAATCTCCAAGTTCATTTCATACACAGTGTTCAAATCACATTTCTACGCTTGCTCAATAATATGCAGCCACAAGACATGCGGTTATATGCGGTTATTTTTATTTGACGACTCTAAAAATAACAAGTGCGATGGACGAAGTCCATATCTACTAAATGATGTACCGAGTGATTTAGATTTCAATATTCTTATATATACAGCATCCACTAGAAGCTCAGTGTAATCAATTTCATTGGCAACTCAATTTACTGGATGCACTGGCTATATAAGGAGCGATCAACAAAAATTGGTGCACGATCATGCTCTCTCTGGTTGTTACGGCCGACAGGGAATGAAAAAGAAGGCCGATCATCCATTAACATTTGTCGTTGATTAATCTTTTTTTAATGTGTCAATGTCATTACAGGGTTCAACGGGAATAATGGTTTTACGACCTTGATTCCTCCAACACCCTTGTCAACGTTATTAGATGCAAATTTATGACACCATCCCAAACCAGGTAGCCGTCTTTTGTGGTGTTTGGTTGGCACGCTTTTCTTAGACAGGACAGTTTATCTGTTTAGGGGTATTACTTGAATATGCTTTTTGTTTGCAAATAAAGGGCTTAGAAAAGTTAAAATCATAAAACCGTTATTTTCGTTATACAGCAACCCCTTGACGACCAACAATGGGTTATTAATACACGTATAGTTTGGGAAATTTCTTTCTACCTTATAAAATTTTATTGGCAATAACGAGACGGACAGTACAACAATAGCAAGAGATATTTACAACTTGAAGTTGTCGCGTGTCAGTAATCCCCAGATGTTAGAAAGCAGAATAATCCAGGTCCGGACAGGGACCATCGTTACTCACGAACGAAAAGGACCATTATTTTATGAGTACTACTACCTGCTAAATGTTCTCCGACAAATTCGGATGCACTGGTATGAGCTATAAATATTTCTTACCATTGTAATCGTTATTGTCAATAAAATTTTATAGGGTAGAATGAAATTTCCTAAACTATAAATTCAAGATCAAGATAATGAGTAATTGAAACACTAGTGGAAATGAGGTCATATATGTCTGGTTTGTATTTATTTCACAATTTAATTTTGTAGCTATCAGTTGCACCTAGTAGGTAAACATTCTCCTCCCAAGATGATTTATCTTGATTAGTCGATATAAATATTTTTTTGTGTTTGAAAAACTATTAATGCTTTATTAATTCTGTATATACGCAAGTAGAATTCAAAATACGCCTGTTCCATACTTAAAATTAAAACTTTTAAATTTTTGATAAGCGCGTCATCTGAGACCTTTATTGTTTATTACAACAAAAAATTAAAATACAATACCTATCACACTCATTTTTGTTTGCTTATGTATGTCAACACCAACGAACTATATGCAATAAACAAATCGTCTGTGAATTATTATTACCATGTTGCACGTAAGCAACTACGACAACGCCACGATCTTTTAAACGTCTATAGTAAGTTTGTTTTATTTAATTTCAGTGTAAAATAAATAAAAGAGGTCCTCAAACACTCGAGGTGAGATATATCTAGTTGTCAGTGCCTTTATATTAAAGAAAAAACTAACTAACCTCACAAAATTTAGCAGCCTACTTCACAAAATGACGCTTTAATAAATCTGTAGTCTCAAACGATCACAAATTTTGTCGTTTAAAAAACTGTCTCAGTTATGTTTCTCTTCGTAAATGTTTTTGTGGCATCATTAATTACCAATGTTATGCTGCTTTCGTGACCACAAAATTAATTTTATTATTACACTATGCTATTCCCAGCTTCTTCCCAATTTAATCTACTCTACAGCATGTGCTGATGTTCTAATTAGTAACAACTTACGCAACAAATGCTGCTGCTCTGCTACAAAGTTTCAACATACATAGGTCACTAAATTGAGAAGTCATTTCCAAAACATAATTACTAAAATCTGGGACGAGTAAATTTTCATATGAGAATTTCCAAACCGAGGTCATTGCATTTTTTTTAATTCACTGTAACGATGATTGTTTAAACCGTCAAAATTTGATAAAAAAAATGTTTTAAGAAATATTTTACATGGTTTGCATAACTTTATGACTTTGTGGGAAATTAGTCTAAACGTTTAATTCTGTGGGTTGGAAAAATTGTTGTCAAACAATTAAATCGTTGTTTAACAAACAATGTTTCTTTTTGATCTTTCCATGCTTTCTTCACATACTAGAATAATGGATCAATACCCTACAAGTAGATTTCAAATGTAACAATTTCGAATAACCCCACTCGTCGAATGAATTAATACCGCCAAACAGCATTCGTTCCCTTTATACCTATCAATTTAGAACCACAATTAGGCAACTGTCGATAATGATTCACGTTTAACGAAGGGTCTAAACTTCGACCCAATCCCCTACGACCCGACTCCGCCTACAACTGCAGCGGCATCATCACCGCTTTTTTATTACCTGCATTATCTCTAACCTAAACAAATTAACTTGTTGAAAAACTCCAAACATCACACCCGTTTTATGTGTGAAGCATGCCGCAAGAGCGAAAACATGTGCTTCAGTTTACTTCCGAACCGCTATTGACAGACGCCGTTGAAAAAACCTTTTGTTTTCAGTGGCCCACTTTGCCGCGTCGCTAATCAGCCTATTGGTTTGTGAGAACAAGACATTTCCGGTTACGTTACTTAAAAAATAAAAAACCTCCGAACGCTTCGTGCTGTAACTTCGATTACGAATGAATCGTTCACGATCAAGTCGGCGGCGTCCTTGATCGCTCGTTAAGTGGATCACCCTGTAGATAGTTAATTCCAACCGACGCTTGTTTATTTACATTTCCACAGCCGCCTCGAACGTCGATAAACGCACTTAAGCGGTCGATTTCCTGGAAAGGCTAATCCGAACGGGGTGATTACATGGACGCGTCGATAACGGCACTGATAACGCGCGGCGGGGAGGCGGCATGGGGGCGGCTGGCGGCCCCCGTCGGAGGCGGCGGGCCCAAGGCGACCCGAATGATGCCCCTGAACCAGTCACGCCGGAATTACCGGTCGCCAGCCACCTTGGACTCACCATTTTACCGCCAAAATCAAAAACGCCTTCTTTCGGGCGTTTCTCAATGGAGCGCGCAAAAATCAAAACAAACGTGTACTCACTTTTGTTGGGCCGTCTTGTCTGCCATGTTTTTGTATTTGTTTGGGGCGATTTATCCAAAAAAAAGAGCAAAACTTAAAAGCGTGCACACTAACGAATAGAAGCAAGCGAAACGACAGAGAGAATGCGAAGCAGAAGGGGAGAAAGGAAGGCGAACGATGCCGCTCGCTGATTGGCTGGCGCGTTCAAGGTGAGAGCGTTCGGCTAGAGTCGCCACGGAAATTTTTCTACTTATGACTAAATTTATTTTATTGCCGTTATAATTTTATTTAAATTTAGAACTTGCACAATTTTGATGGATACCAACGTTGGGAAAATTAAGCCGCGGTTGGGGTTTTGCTTCGATTTTGACAGCGTCGGCCGGAAGCGAGTTCAACTTACAGCGCCGGCTTCAGGAGGGGCGGGCCCATTTTTTTTAAATGGAAACCGGCGAACATCTGCCTCGGGCACCGGTCTATTTATCGTAGGCTTTATCTCCCCAACATTTATTGTTCGTTGATGTACTTTGTGTTCAGAAAGGAAACTTCTTTCTGTGTTGATGAAAAGACCAAGAACAATGCCTCTAATACGGTTTGGCGTAGGTTAACGCACTTTGGAAACCTCGGAATAGGTCGAAGACAATAAAAAAAAGAAGGGGAAAGTGGTTTCAGGAAACAAGCTACATATTATTGAAATGAGCAAGATGAGGTGAAAAATGAGAACCACTCGCAAACAAAGGAATTTATGGTTTATGGATGTATTTTTATAATATTCGAATTTTGTACAAAGAAAAATGTGCTATGTACGTACAATCTTTTATAAAATGTTACTGGAACTTTATACTGGCCTCAATGTACACCATTATTGTTTGATAAATATTTTAAGTGAAGTTTCTGAAGCATAAGATGGCGCATGACATTAATATATTTTTCTTTTCTTCCTTGTACTTGCTAAACAAGTTTTCAATTCGTATCGATGCCTACATGTAATCTAACACTTAATTTAATATGGTAATGGAAAGTATTTTCAGACTATCTATGATCATCTTATACAGACATATGTATATGTTATAGCTGTATAGTGAGCTTTAAAATAGTAACCAAAAAACGTGTATTAAATGTTGTATTGTTTATATTTTAGTCTCCCAAAATATACAAAATATTCGCACTCCCCAAAGGGTACGTTATAGATTTTGAACTAATTGTTTCTCGTATTTGGCGGAGTTGTGTGTTCTTAAAATTGAGTTATTTTACATGTCTAACTAGAAAATATGTTCTTGTAACCCAAACTGAAAACTTTTTTTTATTATTTTTTTATAACGTGGGTACCCTTTTTTAAAAGCGTTCACGACATTTCAGGTAGCCCGTATTTTAAGTGTATTTAATATAATTCGACTATTTTGGTTTTGTAATAAGTAACACTAACTACATTCTACTGCACTCATTTACTACAGAGAAATCGAAATGCTTATGTATGAGAGTGTATGAAAGTGCACACCGGATTTAATTTTTTGTTTCATTGTGCTTTAAAAGTCTGACAAATAATAATAATTGTTTTACCATTTTTGAAAAATAAACGTAACATGCAAAATTAAATTCTAAAGTAACTTATTACACAGTTCGGTCCTATACCCGGTGTCTCATATGTTATTTGCAACGATCTTACTAACTGCAGTATTTGTACATACATCCGGTAAAATATTAGCTGAAAATTTATTATTTAAAAAAAAAGCAGAAGATATTCCATACAAAAAGAAGAATTACATAAAATTAATTTAAAATATGTCGTTCTTCTTTTCTTTTAAATACCCTAAAATCGCGCGTATAGTCCGCCCCCGCGCATAGTCCGCCCTCACGTATAGTCCGCAGTTTTTAAATCTCCCTCCTAAAAATCAGATAGTCCGCAACCTCGCGTATAATCCGCGGACAATGTGCGTGTCTGAATGGTTCGATAAGGTTCGATATTTGCTACCTATTTAGGTACCTAAATTTAAGTATCTAGGTACTTTTGAGAATCTTTTTATTTTTGTTATATATTTTATTTTTCATTTATATTGAGAATGCCCAATAATTTTTTTTATTTTGCGTTTAAATTTTTTGTTGGTTTTCCTACAGCGTATAGTCCGCCCTCGCCTATACAGGGTTATCATAAATGATTGTAGTCGAAGTAGGCGCTGACGCAATTGTTTTGATGTGCCGCTTCTCACTTTCAAAAAATTGTTAATTATAGTCCACTAAAGTTATGGGGAATTTTTGTTTTGCTTTGCTGTCAGAAGAATGTCATGCTGGTCATATGTCATAATACTTTCCCGCGCACGTCTTGTTTACTTGTGTTGTTCCAGTCTTCTTTGTTATAAATTAAATTGAATTAAACCAGTTTTTATCAAAACTACAACGATTTGATAACAGCGATTAAGGTAACTAGAAATGAATTAATGTGTATTCATATTTCAAATAAATCTGTTTTAGGTTAAGATGGGGTACACTCTTGAACAAAATACGTTTATTGTTATGTCTTACTATCGAAATGGGACGTTAAATGCGGACGGGGAATGGGTGTATTCTGTTCAAGCCTGCAAGGATGAGTATTTGGCAAAATTTCCAGAATTAAACATTGAAGAACAGTCTTTAATGACACACATAAAAAGAATCGTTGACCGATTCAACAGCACTGGAAATGTTTCTAAAGGCAAGTCACCTTTAGAAACATTTCCATGGAGCAATTTAAATGGCACTGTTGTTTCAGGTACCACAATAGAATCTCCAAGGACATGCGTCTACATTCCGAGGAAAATCAAAGCCGTCCTCCTACCTCAGGTCAGCTCCAGGGATGTGACTGCGGTAAATGTTAAGTGTAACATAGGAAGAGGCGAAGAGCAACTGGTAATAGCATCTGTGTACTTACCACAGGGAGCACAGGAACCATGTCCAACATGGGAAATGGCGAACTTGGTGGAACACTGTGATACCGGAAATATAAACCTCATCATCGGTGCCGATGCGAATGCCCACTGTCTGTTGTGGGGGAGCAAAGACACTAATGATAGAGGAAGAACACTAGCTGAATATCTTTTATCAACAAATCTAGAGATTCTCAACCGAGGCTGCGAACCAACTTTCGTAACATCACGTAGTCAGTCAGTAATAGATATTACACTGGCTACATGGGATATCTCACAATATATAATGGGATGGCACGTCTCTAAAGAGGCGTCAGTGTCAGACCATAGATGGATCATGTATACATCAAAATGTATAGACATGGAGATAAAGACGTACAGGAACCCTAGGCTGACGAACTGGGCTTTATACAACGAAGAACTGGACGACAGACTGGGGACCTCCGTGCAGTCTATACCAACGGAATACATTTCGACAGAAGACATAGAGAAAACCTTGACCATTATCAACGACTCTCTAATGTCAGCGTATGAGAAAAGTTGCCCCCTAAAGAAGGAAGGTCTGGGCAAAGGTACACCATGGTGGAACCGAAGGCTCAGCCTACTTCAATCGGGGCTAAGAAAACTTTTCAATAGAGCAAAAAACACTAAGAAAACTGAAGACTGGGAAGCCTATAAAGAGCACCGGAAAGAGTTTAAAAAAGAATTAAGAAAGAGGAAACGGGAAACGTGGAGATCCTTCTGCAGCGACATAACGTCGACTGCTTCGGCCGCAAGGCTGAAGAGAGTTCTCTCGAAGGACCACACACATCAACCAGGTTTCCTAAAGAAAGAAGATGGCACCTTTACAGCCACCTTAGAAGAGTCCGCAGAACTTTTGCTGCAGACCATGTTTCCAGGCAGCACACGGACTACCTCCCATTCCAAAAGGGATGTAGTCGGTACTCAACCTTCCCCGAAGGACTGGGCGCTGGCTGCAAAGGTAGTCACGGAGGCAAGACTGGAGTGGGCAGTGGACAGCTTTTCCCCATACAAATCTCCAGGAGTTGACGGTATTTATCCCGCCCTCCTGCAGAGGGGAATGAGCAGACTACGCCCTATTTTGTTGCCAATGCTTCGGGCGTGTCTGGCTTTCAGCTACATACCGAATGCATGGCGAAAAGTAAAGGTTATCTTTATACCTAAGCCAGGACGACAAGATTACACCTTGGCTAAATCCTACAGACCAATTAGCTTAACATCATTCTTGCTGAAAACGCTAGAAAGACTAAGCGAAAAAGAGATTCGGGAGACTGCTTTGAGCAAGCAACCTCTACATCCGAACCAACATGCCTACATCCAAGGAAGATCCACCGATACGGCCCTACACACAGTTGTAAACCGTATAGAGTGGGCGATGGAGAACAAACTCTTCACCTTAGGAATGTTTTTGGATATTGAAGGAGCGTTTGATAAAACGACCTTCAAAAGCATAGAACTAGCCCTACGAAAGCACGACGTGGACCCCACCCTAAGTAGGTGGGTGGCCAGTATGCTGAGGAACAGGGAAGTAATGATTAATGTAGGTGGCACTGAGATCGAGGCTGTTGTAGACAGGGGATGTCCTCAGGGAGGAGTTCTCTCTCCTGTACTGTGGGATACTGTCGTTGACAGCCTGATACGACGCCTCAATGATCTTGGCTACCACACAATTGGATACGCGGACGATCTAGTCATTCTGCTAACAGGAAAAAACGCAGATACATTATGTGAGATAATGCAAGCTGCAGTAAAAATAGTCGAGGAATGGTGCAACAGACATACCCTCTCCGTTAATGGAGAAAAGACGAAACTAATCCTGTTCACCAGGAAAAGGAAAATTGGCACACTACAGATGCCAAAAATATTTAACACAACGCTTCAACTTTCGGACGAAGTCAAATACCTGGGAGTTGTATTGGACTGGCGACTGAATTGGAAGAAGCATGTAGATGATAAAGTAGAAAAGGCACGCTCGGCTCTCTGGCAATGTCGTAGGGTGGTGGGAAGGTCGTGGGGTTTAAATCCCAAGATCGCCCTTTGGATCTACACGGCAATAGTCAGACCGATGCTGTGCTATGGAGCTTTAGTTTGGTGGCCCAGAGCCAGACAAAAAACAACAGCCCTGCAACTTGAACACGTTCAGAGAATGGCGTGTCTCAGTGTTACAGGAGCAATGAGGACCACTCCCACAGCGGCTCTGGAGACTCTTCTTTGCTTAGCACCTCTCAACCTTTACATAGAGGAAGCGGCAATGACGACGTCTCTAAGACTTCACTCTCTGGGAGTATGGAACAAGCAAGGCCGCACAACGAAGCACACTCGGATCTTAACGGAGGCGTTCAACAGAATACCCTTGTTGAGGATGGGTTGTGACCGAATGGGCACAAAATTAATATATGAGAAGACATATAGAATATCAATGAGTGATAATTCAGAAGGACGAGCCGACATAGATATCTATGTCGATGGTGCCAAAACAGATAGTGGTTCAGGAGCCGGCATCTACTCCGAACAACTGAACGCACAAATCAGTGTACCTCTCGGCACCCACACGTCTGTCTTACAAACAGAATTGATGGGAATAATGCTGGGAGCTAGAATCATTGCTGAACGTGAAATCGGCAACAAATCAATACGCATACTTACTGACAGCAAGTCTGCACTACTAGCCCTGGACAGCTGTATGGTTCGATCCGGGCTGGTTTGGGAGTGCAGACAAACGCTAAAGTATGTAACGCAGAGGAATAGTGTGGTACTTTGTTGGATCAAAGGACACAGTGGCAACGAAGGAAACGAGAGGGCAGATGAGATGGCGAAGCGAGCCGCGCGTATGCCCTTCTGGGGACCCGAACCGGCAATCACGCCTTCGGTCGCCCTCTCGAACGAACTCGTAAAGCAATATACCCATAGACGCCATGAGCAGATATGGGCGACGTTGAGCAGCTGTCGGCATAGTAGAGCTTGTATGGCGACACCAGACCGTAAGTTGACAAAATTTTATCTCTCACTTTCAAGGGACAAACTGCGTAAACTGGTAGGATTCCTTACGGGACATTACCAGTTTAACAAACATCTACATACGATAGGGGTAGCAACAGACCCAATCTGTCGTGGATGCAATGAAGAAGAGGAAACAGCTGAGCACATTCTTCGTGAGTGTCCAGCCCTAGCCTCCTACAGGGAATCCATACTAGGGGACATCTGGCCTAGTATGGCAAATATCAGGGAGTTTCCACCCTCTGCATTACTCAAGTACATTCAAGCAGTTGGATGGCTTGACGAGTAGAGGAGCGGGAAAACACCCTGATATGGACTTGGGGAAGGTACAATGGGCCCAAAGGCGAGGCCTAAGTGCCGGCTGGCTACGGTCAGCCCCCATAAATTAAGAATCCAGAATCCAGAAAGGCAAGTCACCAGGAAGGCCCCCAGTTAGTGAAGAGGTGGTTGAAGATTTGAGGGAAAGAATGGAGCAAAGCCCAAAAAAATCTTTGAGTAAACTGTCTTTGCAATCTGGTGTCCCATACACCACTTGTCAGAAAGTTTTAAAAAGAACATTACATATGCATCCCTATAAAGTATCGTCAATCCATGAACTTAAACCAGCTGATTATCCTCGTCGTGTTGCATATTGTGAATGGTTTCAAAACAACATGAACAACAACAGAATTTTGGATTTGTCATTTTTTTCTGATGAAGCATGGTTTCATCTAAATGGCTATGTTAATTCGCAAAATTATAGAGTTTGGAGTGCTGAAAATCCTTTTGTTTTTGAAGAAAGGCCTTTACACTCTGTTAAAGTTGGCGTGTGGTTAGCGGTTTCGCGTAGAAGAGTGATTGGGCCAATATTCTTTCACAACACAATTAATTCCGCAAGGTATAGGGAGCAAATATTAGAGGTGTTTCTAAACCACTTGGATGATGAGGAATTGGAATTTGGTTATTTTCAACAAGACGGAGCCCCAGCCCATAAAACAATGGAAAATTTAAGATATTTGCAAGAATTTTATGGGGATCGTATAATAAGTCAAAATCTTAATCCAGAGTGGCCTGCTCGTTCACCTGATTTGACTCCACTTGATTATTCAATTTTTGGATGGATGAAAGATAACATATACAAACATCGATTACATACTTTGGAAGAACTAATGGATGCAATTATACATTGTTGTCAAAATATTGATGTAGTGATGTTAGAAAACATTTTTGAAAACAAAAAAAGAAGGGTAGCTTTATGTTTACAGCAAAACGGGGAACATTTCCAGCATCTTTTATAATTGAAAGTAATTAGCTTTTGGTGAGTGATATAAATTATATAGCGACAAAGTATTAGGTTCTGCTTAATTCTAGTTGACAATGATTTAATAATGAATAATGAAGTATTTGATGAAATGGAAGAATTTGAATGCTTTGATGTTCAGGGAGTAACCTAATTAAAAGCTGATTATTTTCACAGTATGAGTGATTGCACAGGTTTTAAAAAGTTTCAGATGACCAAAGAAACAGTGATGTGTATTTCACCTTTGCTAGAACATCATCTAGAATTTTATGTAGATATGTAAGTGTAGAACTTACGTCAGTAATCAGAGATAAATATTTCACTTCCAGCAGTCAAAGTTTCTCTTCAATGAACTAACTCTTAATTGGTTTATGATATTTCGTTGGTAGAGCGCACTTAGACTGTACTATGGATTTTATGGACATTCATCAAACAATAGTGGTTAGAATAATTCCTTGTTCATCTAGCTCGTTTTCCAGACTTCATTGGCGCCTTGGACTGCATATGCACATATAAAAATTAAATTACCAGGTATATGAATTTTTGCTAACATAGAACATAAAAAATTAAATAGTAAAAGTTTTAGGTGGAGAAGATTCAGAAATTTTTAGAAATCAGGAAGATTATATCTTCATTAATGTACAAGCCATATGTGATGAAAGGATTAAATTTCAAATATTGTGGCACAATGATCAGTAGCTACACATGATAGTACTATTTTTAATCATTGTTCAGTTTAAGATCTGTTTGAAAATGCACAACTACAAAGTTGTGTGCTCTTGGATAGAATATTTTAAGAAAATTTTATTATATTATTATATTTCTAAGTAACAAAAGTTATCCCTTAGAAAAATACTTGTTAACACTACTCCCGTTACTCCAGTACAACAGCTCTATTATCAGTCACACATTGGAAGTCGCAATAGAATTGGATGCACATTTGGGATTCTGAAACGATAGTTTCCTGTGTTAACAGTTGTGATTGTCGCTGTTGTTTTACACAACATTTTAAAACAGATTGTAATATTAGACAGTAAAAATTTATTGGTAATAAAATAATTTTTTTTGTTGATTTCATTTATAGTGAAAAACATATTAAAATTTATTTATAAACTAGCAATATCTCATGTTATTGTTAACATTACATTAAAAATGAGCATCATTTAATTGAAAAGAGTCCGTTTTCAACATACTAAAAATGTATTTATAAACTAACAATATCTCATGTTATTGTTAACATTACGTTAAAAATGAGCATCATTTAATTGAAAATGGACTCTTTAATGTTTTACTTTGAAGTAAGTACGTTTAATTCAAGGTCTGGTTTTAAAACCCTTTTCCTAAAATTAAATTCTTCAATTTCTCGTTCCTTATTTTGTAGTTAACAACTCCTGCCCGAAATATTGCTTTTTTAATTTTGCCACTTCATAACCCTGCCACTTCTGTGAAATTATGTTCCCATGAACAGTCTCTATAACCTTTGCTCTTCTTCCACTGAACCAATTTTTAGTGTGAACTGTGAAGTTACTGATCTATTAGCTTTTTAAAATTATTTGGCATGTAACACGCCAGTGGTCCTGAAAATAAACAGTAATTTTTTTATAGATAACAATGAAATGTATTTTGAGGTTGTTGGTAAATCATGACCACAGAACACTGATTACCACCCTGTTCAACTATGCTTTTCTGTTCAACATTGGAACCAAGACTGTGATGTCATCTTGTACCTAAACACACAGGATTTCCTCTGCACAATCTTGGCTATTTGTTTGTTTGATGCTTTAATTTTCGTCCCCACTATGTGAAATGTACGTCTCCAGGCTCCACAAGTGTTTTGATTTGTGATGTCCGTAACTTAACCAAAACAAGGATCTATTGTTTCAAATACTGGACGTGGTCCTTTGCCAATCTTTCTTCTTTCGGCCTCTTCGTCTGCGGCTGTTTTCCGGTCTTCATTTTTCTTGTTCTCGTACCACTTTTTTTCAGATTTTTTGTCGCACCAGTAAATGACATCGTCCTTTTTATTTTCTATGGTAGCTTTGGATTCATATTCAAAAACTTAATCCATAATTAAAACCTCCTCCGGTGTACAACTGGTTATTCGGCATTTTGTTGTTCCATATTTTTTTTATAAACTGCACGAACACACGAGACACGGGGGCACGGACACAAATGAATTTACGTAACACTTCTAAGTGTTAAGTGAATGCCATGCAGTTAGGCCTAAACACTTAAAGAATGTTTTATTTATTTTTGAAAATAACCTCAAACAGAGCATGACATTTAATTAATAGTTCGAATTACTTCGAACCGTATTATGAAGCGGCAACAGCAAAAAATTCATTTGTTTTCAAAGCCAAGTTGACTACAATCATTTATGATGACCCTGTAGTCCGCCTCGCATATAGTCCGCACCCGGCGTCAGGAAAAACAACGTATAGTCCGCGGACTATACGCGCGATTTTAGTGTAATTTATTTTTTAATTTTTCTGCAAACGCAGACGTAAGAATATAATTAGATTTTATAATAATAAAAACAACAATAACTATGATATCACGAAATCAAAAATTAAAATATACATACAATATAACACCGCAAGAAAAAGAACAAACGTACAAATTATTATTAGTCATCTAAAACAAAATTTAATTTAGAATTTTATTGTAGTACGTAGAAAAATTGGTCGAAGATTATTTCGACAGAAATCTCTTGAGTATAGTAAATCATATCCAGCTTTTTGAAAAATTACAAAACTTGATTTTTGTTTTGAGAACCAGTATAAGTTAAAATAAAGATATGTATGCAGTGTGAAAAAACATGCTACGCGTATGTTCCAAATGAGTTTTTCCTTTACAAAATTTTGCGATGACTTCATCAACATTTTTACAAGGACACGTATATCTTTTTGGGTAAGTGTAGTGTAATACTAACTATAACACTAATAATAACAGTATTGTATTCCGACATTTTCTGGAGAATGGAGTAAGCCGTTCCTGATTTAATCAATAAAATAAGTTGGCTTATTATTTATTTTTTGAAGTCACTCTGTAATTGTAAACAAATTGCAACGGGTCACAGTCCGCCCAAGAGAGGACAAAATATAAAATATTTCAAACAAATAACCAACTGGAAAACATGTTTTCTCACTGTCTAATTATATGCATAATTTCAATTGTTTATATTTATACTTCGAAGAATTCACTATTAGTGCGTTTCGATGACAAGCATCTGCGTTAAAAGTAAATTAAATTTGGTTGTTTTTGTCGTCTCAAACGGGAGGAGAGGAGTAATTTCATTTATTAAGCTATAGTGGAGCAAAACGGACCGAAGACAACGTGGAAATATTATTGATTAAGAAAAAAACTAGTCATAGTGGATTAACAATGTAAGAAAAAAAAATGGCCAAATTTGGCATCGAACGTGTGATGTGGACGTTTAGGGGAAAACTCAAAGCGGATTCGTACACCACAAGTATTTAAATCATTTTAAAATAAAATCTTTTGAAATTATGTCTTGTTTCGGAGATTATATTCTAATAAAAATCGACACGATAGATAGACAGACAAACAAAGAGAGGATACACATATATGTACATATATTACCAAGTCATACTCTTCTATGATGCAAAAAAATAGTTTCTGGAGCTGTTTTATTTAGTAGTTATTACAAAACATTTGTTTATCAAAATAATATTAGATATCAGCACACATTTTTCTTGTAATTCATAATATGAGAACTGAGAGCAGCTGATAAGCACGAGAGTAAACGTCATGTCTCTCTACGCATTTGTCGCATATTAAAATTGTGTATATCATAGCAAAAATGCGAGTTGCAAAAAAGAAATAATGCTGATATAATAAGAACAAAGAACAGAATAAAGTTAAAATTTTCGCGTCCAAATCCATCATGTTCTAGATTTATTAAATATTGAAACTTTATGATGTTTTCTTCTTTCGTTTGACAATAAAGATATGAGTAATTAAAAAAAAAACAAAATAAAAATTTACAATACCAAAGAATATGTGTAGAAAATCTGAAATTATTTTTTTCAGTTTCAGTCAAATTTAAACAAGTTGTGGGTCGGTAGGTACTTAACGTTAACAAAGCAACTGTTATTAAAGTTCAGAAGTACATTTCCTGTCTGAATTACGTCGTATCAATTATATAAAAGTAATGGATAAACAGCATCCAAAGAGATTTATGTAACCATTGCAATAAAAGTGTGATACATAACAAATATTCAAATTGTTCCTAGTTCGCGTAAGGAAATCTTTCTTTCTTCACTTCACTTATAATGCAACAAAGAATATATTGGTTTTACCATTCTGACTTTTTCTTTAATAAGCTGAATTATTTGTTGACAAGAGTGGTGAAGTCAAAATCGTAAAACCACCACAGGATTTGGTACAGACTCTGTACACTCTTTTCGTTGTCGTATTCACCCAGTTCAGATTTAAGTTAGAATGATATAGAACATTTTAAATTTTAAATTTTCAAGTATAGTACTTGACTTGTACGAGTACCTAGTAAAACTTTACAGCACCATTAACGGACAAGTCTACTATACATACTTACATATTTTGCACATATTAAAAATAGTTTTAAGTACTAAAAACAAAAATTAAAAGAGACAATAATAACAGAAAATTTAGTTTTATTTCTTTTTATCATTACTACATATAAAACAACACTGTTAAATAATAAAAGTAATCTTTCTTATTAAGTTGTTACCTAGGATAGTGCGGAAAATCCTCAACTTAATTAAAATATTACCCATTCGAAAAGAACATCAATCGCTAATATAATACACCAACATGGAAGTTATAAAATTGAGAGTTAAAATTTGATTTTAGCTTTGTGTGTTTTTAAAAGTGAACATAGAGATTACGTCCATACGTACTTTCATATGTTCAGAGCTAAAAAAAGTCTCGGTATGTAGGATGATTATAAAATATTGTTCTGCAAGTTGACTCCAGAAAATCTGTTATTGAATTTTTCATAAGAATTTGTCGATCCATGAAGTAGGTAACAATCATTGATTGGAACAATTACTTTTAAAAAATAATGCATTTCAATTACTCATTACGTTTAAAAAGTAATGCATTATTTTGAATATTACTTTTTGCATTTTGAAAATTTTGATGAATACACAATTTTAGATATTTGTTGTATGGGTCCAAAGGGTAAAAAAAAAAGTTTTAGAGTGAAAAAGGCAGTGAGTGATTTATTTTACAAACGCATTTGTTACATATTCACATCAGTAAATAAAATAAAACAAATAAACACTTCAAATAAGAGGACTAATATTCATAATTTAAGTTTAATAATAACTGACATTCAAAATTTTCGTCAGCTAAGGCATGATGTTTTGCCTTAAAAACATCGGCGCCAACACTAAACATCCTTTCCACTGCGGGGCTAAATGGAATTGTTGTGGGGCAACTGCAACAACTTTTAAACAAAAATTTGCATTGGTGGGAGATTTCAAAATATCTTGTTGGTTACGTGTAAATGTATTGTAAATATTGGTCCACCTGCGGACGCAAATCTTTTAGTCTTTAATGAAAAGGATGTTCCTAAATACTTAGAAGGAGGCTACAAGATGACGTAAACTTAAAAGTCTGTCTTTAATTGCCTCTTACTTGGCGTTGTGACTTACAGATTAAATTTAAAAAACCTTAGAGGAGTTTAAAAGGACGGGCTCTATCGGTTACCTTTATAGATTTGAGTGAACCAGAAAAATAGCTAAAGTTTGTTTGACCACAAATTTTAAATATTCTGTCCCTGTTTACTCAATTATTCATTAAGATATTTTATTTCTGTAAAGCGCAATGTATTTTTTAATACAATTTCTACTAATGTACCTTTTTGAAAATTTAAAATTGATCCATAAATAGCGAAAACCAGATATTATTATTATAATCTCATGCCTACTCATCACAATTTTAACCGGTTGTAATTTTTTTTGAGAACAAAATTAAAAAAAAGGAAAACAGTCTGGGTAGGAGTTTTTACGTTCATTTCAACGGTGTGAAGTTTATTACAATCGGACGTATACTTTTGGTAAAAACTTGGGCA